AACAACATGAATAAATCATGACATTAATGCGCCTCCTCTCTCTTGTTTTAGTAGGTTTACTTTAGAGATGGGGAGCCTGTCTGTCCTTCACTCGTAAAAGAAGAAGAACGCTTCGGTTGTACTTTTAGCTCACCGTTAAAGAGAGAGGAACGGTTTAACAACGGCAGATACAGCATTTCATAAAATTCAGACAGGACAGTGAAGAGATGGAGATGAAGCTCAGACAACTGTGGGGCTCCTGTTGGTCCTCCTAATGATTCTACCAGTGAAAATATGCAGAACAGCTTCTGGTTCTGCCATTAGGGGCCCAGAGCTGTACTGTCAGAGAGCCAGTTTTACTTCCTTTATGTCTGCTCTGGAAAAAAAAAAAGAATAAATAAATAAATCTGTGACTTAAATTTCCAAGGCATTTAAAGGTAAACAGGTGACGTTCGGGAAAAAAAAACAACACACTTACTGCTCAGAAATGACATCTCTAATGAAAATTGAAGATTGGGCAGCAAAGTCTCTCCAGAAAAATGTGTTTTGGGTGTCAAAAATGCATAAATTTGTTAACTGGTGTTGTATTTAATTGCACGTTGTGTGTGTACGTTTTTGTATGTGGAACAAGTAAGTAACTTCAAAACATCTGACCAAACTGTAAGTCAGTCTTGCTAGAAATACAATAAAGTCGCTGTTAAATCCGTTATGTGGCATGAACTTCTCCTCCATCCTCCTTATGGGCATTTTCAACACAAGCAGAGTGTAGACTAATAAATGTGAAGGTGTGCCAATGCTGAGTGAGAGTGAGGAAAACATGATAACTGTACATGTGTTGAGCCTTTACAGTGAGACATCACATCGGTGGGACAATGTAGCCTTGTTACACCAGGTTTTTGCAGGTAGAAACTCCCAAAGCAACTGGATTGGTCAGATTAGACCCAAATAACCTCATTAATCATTCTCGACGTCGTCACCATTAGGCTCAAACCTGGAGGAAGGTCTGCGGTCCTTGTGGAAATTCATCATAATTTGAGCTCTTTTACACTTCATCATACTTGTGTCCTCATTTTCTAGTTTGATTTTCTTTGTTTTATTTTTAAACAGACTCAGATTTTAATGCAAATCTTGAAGGTTGTTTTTGCAACGACTTATATTTAAGACTTGAATTAAACTAGAGGGGGGTCGATGACTATCTAAAAGCTGCTAGTTCGAATGGTGGTGAAAGTTCAAATACAGAATGGTCCAAATCAAAGGAAGGTATTCAGTAATGATCTCTGCATCATTGTGATCATCGTGTCTGCGAAAGTGTTGGTTTGCTGTTTTATAAACTGCCGTGATCAGTGAATCACACCAGGGACTATGAGTCATAACATTTTAAATATTAATGTGAGTTCTCAATGGTGTCTAATGAATAAAGTTGGCACATTCCTGTGGAGTAAAGTACCTCTGTCTCTCTGAATTTATGTTGAGTTAAAGTCTGATCTGTGCAGATTAAACCACCAGCAATGTCTGTTCATGCATTTGTTTTTATTTCAAACCATCACTTGTTTTTGCCTCCGGATTGGTAATTGATGGTCTCACTTCAGGATGTTCTAAAGTCACATAACAATAGTGTTGAGCTGCCATTACGGGCTACATATTCATTATCATGAGGAACACCGTCTGTGTGCCCAGATTATGTGACTGGCAGGATATCCTTCACATGACAAAACATTCCTCTATTTGAGCCAATAATACTGCAGGAATGTGAATGATGAAAAAGCACCCTCATTATTCTTAACGGTTCGGAAAAACAATTAACTACATGGAGAGAATTGATTATTGTTTTGAATACCTGCCAAAAACTAAGTTTGACACCAGTGTATGCCCAAATGAGGACATCAATTGAAGCACTGAAGGACTTTTTACAATGTTGGTTACATTTATTTTAACTGAAAAACACACATTTGCCATTACATCAAAAACACCAATTTGCTGAGTTTACTGTAAATAATTTGTAAGAATTATTTTTACAATTATTTACAACTATGATTGGCCTCCAACTAGAAATACATACAAAAATACAGAAAAAAATGTAAAAAGCTTATGTTAGTTTACTGGGAAGTGTGAATACTTGCTTGAAGGAATATCTGTGACTCCCACCTCAAAAAAATCGCTGGCATTATATTGCTGTTACATTTGCATACATTTTTCATGCTCAGCTGACCATGTTAATGGAAGCTAAAATGCCTTCCAGACATGTAGAAGAACTATTACAAAATAAGTTGTTGTTCCAGCAGTTTCCACAGCTGTTCTGCTAGAATTACCCAAAGGATTGTGATGATTAGTTTCTCTGAAGCTTTGTAGTCCTTCATCCTCATCTGAATTATACTGAGTTATTTCTACCCACAAAAGCTCTGCTGAAAGAGTCTGTAATTGAGGGTTGATCAACACGGAGGGAGGGCCAGGCAAGTAAAAAAGCAACTGTATTACCTCTGGACAATCATGTCTTCATTCTTTGCATGTATGTATTTCAAATGTTTGAATTTAAGTAGATAATTTGAATTTGCCTTTCTGTTCGAACAGCCTGGGAACTCAGTGACCTGACAAGACTCTAGTTCTTCCCTTTGAAGTGTCCCCTGCCTTGTAATTGACATGATGAAGTCAGCTAATGAATATCATGTTCAGAAACAACACAGGATCTGTGACAGGATTTGTAGCGCTGCACATCCTCCTTCTGTGACCCTGTGTCTCTTTCTGTTGGGATAAAAAAAAAAAACACTTCATGTAACTGTTTAAGTTTTTTCTCTATTATTTCTTCATCTTTTTTTATGGCTGAAAGTGTGCCTTTGGATAACTATCAGCTGATCCAAGAGAAATGTAATCTTTCAGCTTCCCATTGTTTAATGGATATGACTAAGAGTGCTCTCATTGTGTTGTTTCTGGCTGCAGAAGCCAGCTGTTTTCATGGAAGTGCCTGAAAGCAGCTGTTAGGCAGACAAAGTCGGCAGAGAGCGAGGGGACTTCGGGGCAATTTTACCCACTGAGGAGCCATATATATCCCCGAGGACGTTAGTGCAGACTAAACAAAAAGACCTGAAATGGGAAGCTCAATCGAACTGTATTTTGTTTGTTAGAGACACAATGTATATATCAACCCTGGACATTCCTAGCAACTTCAAACCCCTCCCACGTCCTCCTTTTGCTCTATCAGACCATATTTTCCTGCTTCCCCCACCAGTTTTTTCACAGCTTATACAAAAGGTCAAAGGAGCCGTAAAAACTGCAAGCAGAGATAAAATCATGGCAGATCTACAGAAGTCTATTTGACTGATTTTGCATCAGTGAGATCAGTGAGGATTCTGAACCCGGCCAAAATGATCTGAGATGAGAAACAACACTGCAGCCACTCAATATTTACCCGATGTCTGACGGGCGATAACAGGATCCGGGGCTACTCCACCAAACTCTCTATCTTCAGGTTGTGAAAATAGAACCTTCTTCCTGTGTTCTCCCCCAACGAAAATAATTTAGTCTATGTGACTTGACTGCTCGTTTGTAGCTTTGATTTTTGGGTGACTGATAAAGACTATATCCAATCTCTTTTTCCTCAATTGTTAAGCTTTATCATGTTTATTGATAAATGCGTTCAAATGATTTTTGACAGAAATTATTCTATGAACCGCAGAAGAGGGCGATGTCAGCCAAATTTAGATTCCTACGCTTGAGGTTGTGAAGATGAGCAAACCATTCATTCAAACAGACTTTTCAGATCTTGTGTTCCCAATGATTTAAAGCAGATTAAAACATTTTCACTAAGTGTCATAATTACAGATTATCTTAAACCTGCATGTTCTCAGAAGGACAGATGTCCAGTTTAACTCATTCCAAACCACCAAACGACAACCAGAGATTTAGACTGTCTCGGATTTTTGTGGAAGATAATCTAATAAGCATTTAATGTGGTGGCTGTAAAAGGGAAAGTGATCCATTAGAGGGATATGTCTATACTAAAAATACTATGGGGCACTCTGCTGAGTGGGGAGGGAGGGTTGGTGGAGGCAGAGAGGTATAAAAGAGACGGTGAAGGAGGGTGTTGAAGTAGAGTGAAGATCTGAAGAGGAGGAGGGAAATGTGAGAGAAATATCAGGAAAGGCTAAGAGGAACGCTCTAGTATAGATTATATGCTAAACTTGGAAACAAAAGGGAGACACTCAATAAGGAGGTAAGAAAAGGTTATTCCTATTGAAGTGTTTGTGTTCTTACAAGTGTGTGTCTGGTGTAATCCAAACTATTTAGATGGGAAAATCGTTTGTTTCAATGATGGTGGTATGACTGAAAACGATGAATAGTCGATAGCTTTTGTGGTTTATGGCTCAAAAGGTAGAAAGTTCATTCTAAATTCTCAGCCTGTAATTGGATTAGTATCATTGTTAACCTGAATAAAGTTTATTACATCAATACTGTTTGGTAACTAACAACATTTTTATCGACATCCTACCGATTTAGTATCAGTACTTTACTCACTGTAAGGACTGAAGTAAAAATGCAGCCTGTCATGGGAAACTTTTCACTTTTATCTTTTTGTGTTTGTGTGTGGGTGTTTGGACTGTGCAGCCAGCAGTTCAAGAGTGGATGCAGAATGTTGGAGTATTCCCCTGACAAATGGTGATGGCTAACACAGATGTGTAATCTGAGGAGAGGGCTTTAGTCAGCTATGTGTTTCTTCACCCCAAAACCTCAAAGAGAGGAAGCATGCAGCATATGCTCACAGGCACATATCTTATTCCAGATATCGGACGATGTTTTATTCACTCCAGAACTGAATTTATGGCTCAATGTCAGTTTAAATATAATTTAATTGTCTCTTCGGCTCTGCTACCGAAATGTGCCACATGTTCTAAACATTAGCAACATTGAACATATTTCAACTTCATTTTCCCACCAGGAGCTTCTGCCGACGAAGACTCTCCTCTGTGGAGTAACTGGAGAGAAAGTGGTGGAAGATGAAAGGTCAGATGTGGACAAAGAGGGCGAGAATGTCACAGAAGCCTTTTCTCCTCTTTTTGGGCATCATTGCAGCCACAGTTTTTACAGCTCAAGGTGAGGCCATCAATGAGACCTGAACACTGTTGTATCCAGTGTTGCCGTCACTGCGAAAATTTCGTCTGTCAACAGTGTAACAGGGTCTATAAACAGGTATTATAACCAATACGTGCGACTAATTGTTGAGACTTTAGTATATCCCTCTCTCCCGCTGTGCCATGTTAATCCACTAAAAGTAAAAGTATCATTTTCAAACAGTTTAAACGTTCCAGTTGACGGCAATTTGTCAGAAAAAACGAGCTTCAACACTGAAAAAAATCAATCACTTATGAAGTAATACTCACATTGAGGAGATCTAAAGATTCTCAATGTATATACATTTTTATAATTAAGAAATTGACTTCATTAACTAAAAAATGAGAAAAACATCAAAATCCGGAAAACATAGAGTGTTAAAGTCTTAAATGATCAATGTACACATAAAAATATCAATTCAATATGAGGATTCAAAGCAAAGCAAGAGAAATACAAATGTTTACAAATTGCATGCGTCTGCTGCAGGCTCATGGAGAAGAGACAACAAAAAGTTTGGTCCAGCAGTGCACCACTCTGACGGTAACCCTCATCAACACATTTTGAACTGCTAATTCCTTTTCATAATGTACACAGTGTTTTATTATTGTATTTATTCATACCCAAGTTATGACAAACAAATCAAACACATCATCAGCTTTTCCAGTCACCCTTATCTGTTTAAACTGTGCCCAGACAACTATGAGTGGACCACATGGTTTAATGTCGATCATCCCGGGGGCCGCGGGGACTACGAGCAGCTGGAGGCCATACGTTTCTATTACCGTGCCCGAGTGTGTGAGACTCCACGTGCGATTGAGGCCAGAACCACTGAGTGGGTCCCGGCCCGGGAAACTGGAGAGACAGTTCATGCAGACCCCACTGTGGGCTTCTGGTGCCTCAATGAGGAGCAAGGTCCTGATCGCAACTGCTCCAACTACGCGGTCCGCTTCCTCTGTCCTCAAGGTTGAACGCGTTATTTTATTGTATCCTTTCATCCTCTCAATAAAACTCTGATTCTCTACTATTTCTAGTTGTATTTTGATACCATGACTGATAAATTGCATGTCTTCATTCATTTTCTTTGCCTCCCATCAGATAGTAGTGTGAACATTGAGGGAATCTGGGGTCCGTGGTCAGACTGGAGCCCTTGCCCTGCCCTCTGTGGTCAAGTGGGTGTGCAATTACGCTATCGAAGCTGTCAGTCCCAATCAATGCCCTGCAGTGGGGCTAAAATAGAAGGGAAATCATGCAATGGACCTGAGTGCATTAAGGCAGGTGAGTTTCACTTGATTTTGTTGGTTTGACTCTCCTACAATTATTTTCAGTCTGAAGCAAAAATACATAAATACATGTTAAAAATAACAGCTCAAAAAGGAAACCTCTAATAAATGGGCCTCTGACTTTTTGTGTGTCTCACTCTTCAGATTGTTCCCTTCGCTGTCTCATGGGGAAAGTGAACGCTGACTGTGACGCATGCATGTGTGAAGAGCACGTCCTGCTGGGTTCTGTACGCAGTGCTGGCGGCCTCATTGCTGAAGGGGCCGCCATCCTGCACGTGAACAAACTCCTTACCATCACGGACCACAATGGACATTTTCGCATACCAGGGGTCTGCCCTGATGGAAACACAACCTTGACAGTGAGCCTGCCGGGTCATGCCAGCCATAGTGTTGTTGTGCCCCACAGCACTGAGCGCACTTCGGTTCTCAGTGTCCAGCTGAAAAGAGCCGGTACAGTATCATGTTAATGAATTCAGATAAAAAATAACATAACATTTCCTTACATGACTTTGAGGTATTTTCCCATGATTTATTTATTGTTAGAAAAGCTTCATGTTTTGGTTAACCCCGAGAGCAAGGCCAGGAGGGAGGGGCAAAGCGCTGCCTTCTGCTGCAAAGTGGCTGGAACTCCACAGCCGGACAAGTACCAGTGGTGAGAGTTACTATCCTATAGTCCAATGGAATGTTTTTTGCTCTCAGAAGTGTAGAATATTTTGTGCTACTTATTTGTTTTTGTGTGTGAGCCAACAGGTTTCACAACGATAGTCTCATGGAGACTCAGTCTGAGAGCACACTGGTCCTGAAAGATCTGCATGCTGAGCAGGCTGGAGAATACTACTGCAGAGCAAGCGGTCAATTTGGGGCTATCAAAACCAAACCAGCCATTCTCAAAATCATAGGTGTGTGAAGCGGTGAAGACATGCTTAATACACATATCTGACTCTTTTTTTAACTGGATAGGAGCTTGAGGGGTACATCCTATTACGTAAACATTAAATCCTCATTTTATCTCATACACAGGTACAGATGAGCATTCGTGTAACCCCAGGCCCGAATCTCACCTCATTCGTCTTCCACACGACTGCTACCAAAACAGCACAGACTCGTTCTACTACGATGTGGGCAAATGCCCCTCAAGTGCATGTGCTGGACAGTTGGACCATGGCATCAGGTGCAAAGACAAAGTTTCTTACTGCTGTGGGGTGGCAGAAATGGAGAAGAGGCAGCTAACATGTCAGGGGTACCAGCTGCCCACCATGGTGGTGACCAAGTGTGGATGTCAGAAATGCGTGGACACCAAGGCCATTGTGCATGGAAGAGCTATTGCTGCAGACAATGGTGAGCCAATGAGATTTGGCCACATCTTCATGAACGGAGTCAGAATCAGCCGCACAGGCTACAAAGGCACCTTTTCTATCCAGATCCCTCCAGACACCGAGAGGCTGGTGCTGACGTTTGTCGACAACATGCAAAAATTTGTCAACACCACAAAGGTACTTCCATTTAACACTAAAGGGGGGGCTGTTTACCACGAGATCAAACTTCTGCGAAAGAAAGCTCCTGTTACCATCAGTCCTTTAGAAACCAACACTCTGGAGCTCGGGGAGGTAGAGGGCCAGGAGGCAATGGTCCACATAGAGATCCCACCTCATTCCTTTTATAAGGAGAACGGAGAAGTCTTTACCGGTAACGTCAATGCAAGTGTGACTTTTCTCGACCCAAGGGACGTCTCCACGGCTGCTGCTGCTCAGAGTGATCTCAATTTCATTGGGGATGAGGGAGATACTTTGCCACTGAGAACCTATGGCATGTTTTCAGTGGATTTCAGAGGTGAGCAAAACAACGAGCCTCTGAATGCAGGTGAGGTGAAGGTGTTCCTGGACTCTGCACAGGTGAAGATGTCAGAGCATCTTGACTCCATGAAGCTGTGGTCACTGAACCCGGAAACTGGCCTGTGGGAGGAAGAAGGGAGTCTTCAAATGGAGAGGAGAGGAAGAAGCAAAAGGGAGGAGAGAACATTTTTGATTGGTAACATGGAGATCAGAGAGAGACGTCTGTTTAACCTTGATGTTCCAGAGAACCGCAGATGTTATGTGAAAGTGAGGGCTTTCCGCAGTGAGCGCTTTATGCCCAGTGAGCAGGTGGAGGGAGTTGTGGTGAGTCTCATAAACATGGAGCCAACAGCTGGCTATTCCACCAATCCCCGGGCCTGGGGTCGATTTGATAGTGTAGTCACTGGACCGAATGGGGCATGTCTTCCTGCTTTCTGCGATGAACAAAGAGCTGATGCCTACTCTGCATACGTGATGGCCAACCTTGGAGGGGAAGAACTGGAGGCGGTCGCATCTGCTCCCAAATTCAATCCCAGTCTTATTGGAGTGCCTCAGCCATATCTGAGAAAACTGAACTACAAGCGCACCGACCATGAGGACCCCAGACTGAAGAAAACAGCATTCAGTATCAACGTGGCAAAGCCAAGTACCAACACAGCAGAGGAAAGCAACGGACCAGTGTACGCATTTGAGAACTTGAAAGAATGTGAAGAAGCACCATTCAGTGCTGCACATTTCCGTTTTTCAAGAGTGGAAGGAGACCGTTATGATTACAATACCGTGCCTTTCAATGAAGATGACCCAATGAGCTGGACAGAGGATTACTTGAGTTGGTGGCCTAAACCCTTGGAATACCGAGCCTGCTACATTAAGATCAAAATCAACAGCCCACATGAGCTCAATGTTCGGTCCCGTAACATGGGTGGTACCCATCCCAAGACAGTAGGTCAACTGTACGGTCTTAGAGACACTCGTAGCATTCGTGATATGGATCAGGCAAACGTTTCAGCTGTGTGCCTGGAATTCAAGTGCAGTGGAATGTTGTATGATCAGGACCGTGTAGATCGCACCCTGGTGAAGGTAATACCACAAGGCAGCTGTAAGCGAAACTCTGTCAACACAATGCTTCAGGAGTATCTGGTCAACCACCTGCCTCTAGCCGTTAACAATGATACTAATGAGTTCACCATGCTGGCACCTCTTGACCCTCTAGGCCATAACTATGGAATCTATACGGTGACAGACCAGGATCCCCGCACAGCCAAAGAGATTGCACTGGGGCGCTGCTTTGATGGCACTTCGGATGGAACATCCCGAGTCATGAAGACCAATGAGGGCATAGCGCTGACATTCACTTGTGGAGACCGTGAGGCTACACGGCAGAGTGTCTTCCAAGCAATGCAGAGTTCTCAAAGTCAGACAGTGACGAGTGTTGTGAGGAAAACCAGACGCCGGCAAAGGGCCAATGCATCCCGCAGCAACCGTAAACGTAACACCAGAAATCCAACAGGAAGTCAAGCACAGAACAGAAGCTGAACACCTCCGAAGATCTCCAAAGGTCAAGGCTCTAATTTGGCTTAAAGTACTAACTCTAAGCTGTTGAAGGGGTTTAGCTTTTTACAGCCAACTGTAATTGGACAAATTTGCATAGTATGAATAAAACTTAAATTTCTAGATATTTACAGGTTTAAATAATTTTCTCCACTGTGATAGTTTGTCAGCACTTTACTGCAATTCCCTCAGTTGTTGGTGTATTATTTTCTCTGTAGATGTCATCAGCCAATGCAATGCTGTGTAAGCAGGTTGAAAACAGACTATTCCCATTTTTCCTTTAAAAATGTCCATGGATGCTTTCAGTCTATTTTGGGTGTGTTCCTTTTCACTGAGAAGTACCCAGTGGCCAGCTGGGAACATCTAGACTGGATCTGGACAGACAGTATATCCCTTCAGATGTAAAATCTGATTCATCAGCATCTATTGACTGTGAATTTATTAATAAACACTTCAGGCCTACTCTGTAACTTTGGATGCACGTTGTTCTGACTGCCTTTACTTTTGTCCTGATGGTGCTATTTCACAATTGTTTTGAAGGTGATTATAATCTCGGTGCTGTATCATTTTGGTTTACAGTATCTGCCTGTTGAACTCTATATTTTTAAATTAATGATAATGATAGTGGTTTTCCTTTATGATGCAAACTTTGTAAAGGGTGGTTTAATTAACCATTACTTTTGTCAAGTGTAATCGTTTGTCTTTTTACATCAGACCCATCCGGGTTATTTTTCATCTCAAAAGACCAGTTTATTTGACAAATCAAGATATTTCTCCTATTTGATTGATTTATTAACTTTGCAGTCTGATGTCGTCCGCATCTGTTCATGAGAAATCATTCGTCAATTCTCTATTCATAATTAAGCACCCTGAAAAATACGTATTAAGGAAATAAATTAATCCTTATAAATAAAAACAAGAATATCAATACAGGTGTTACTCATATTATGTAACATTTTATTGGAAGTTTTTTTAAGCGACTAAAAAGTCAGACATCTTGTGATCTACACCTGGATGGTGTTACCTTATGTTCTTACCCTCTGGTTTCATTGAAAATACTCGACAGATTCAGGTCATGTGATCACAAACCAGTTCAGTATTATAAATATGAAACTGTGAATGGGAACTGTATTAGTTGCACGGGTCGTACACAATTTAGGTTTCGAACCTTTGACTTAGACAAAAGAAAAGGACCACGACATCTTTATTTTGACCAGTGGTTTATTAAATTAGATGCTTAAAAAACAGATGTGTCTTCAATATTATATGTATCCAATTGCCCTTGTAACATTTAAACTGGTCAATAGCTAGAAAAGAAAAGGAGAAATAGACCCCTTTCAACTAACTGTAGCCCATATGAAGACATGGTGGCGTGAAGCCCATTAGCCCCCGCTCCTCATCACACTTGATACAAGCCTGCAGAAGCAACAATTAAGAGACCAGTTGTCACAAGTTAGTCCACTTGCCTGATCTATACTTTTTTCCTGCATTAGTAGAAATCAAATTAGTCAATTTTTGTCATGCACAAAAAATACCTATAAGCAATGTTTGCTCAATATTTTCAAGGATATTCCAGAAATGTATCAAGAGAATGGCTGTGAGGTTTTAAAGTCACATTTATTATACTCTATCCCTTTTATCTTACAGTGAATGTCATGTACTCTCTGTAAAATTCTACTACTTACATGTTGCGCCCGTCTCACATTACCCACAATGCAACTTTTCCAGAGATAAAGATGAATAATGTACTGAATAATTGTTCTGCATTTGGCAACTGAAGTTATAGATACTATATACACTTTCCTGTAAGACAAGTATCCGCAGGTAAGTGTGACCTATAATATATACATGACATTCTGGTTAAAGAATTTGCATAGAACCTTGTTTCTATGTCACCACACTTAGAACTGCAATACTGTATCTGCCTTTTTTGACAGGAGCAACGTTTAATAAAGAGGGAGCCCCGCAAAACTCAGACAACAGCAGTTGCAGTGTGTTCTCCACTGAAGCTGGGTCACACAACAGATTCCACATGATAGTGTGTGTGTGTGTGAGTGTGAGAGAGTGTGAAAGAGAGAGAGGGGGAGTCGAGGCTGAATGAGACAAAAGGCAATTCCATATGAAAGAATATTAAGTGTTTTGAAACTGGATGCTCCCTGGTATAGTCCCTCTGGTCACTGAAGCAAAAATGAAGGGGGCAACACATAGTTCAGACTTTCCAGGATGGCACTGGACAGCATGAGAAGGTAGAGCTGTACTTCTGAGGATTGAGAGGGGGGTGGGGGGGGGGGGGGAGGAATGGGACCCCGGGTCACATGAAGTCCTCATAGTCTTGAGCGTAACCACCATCAAACTCTGCATAGTCAAGCTCATCTCTCATCTGTGCCTTCAAACCACCTCCTGGTACCACGCCTTTCTTCTTCTTCTTTCCTTTGTTTTGCTGTAAAAGCAAAAAGATATTAAAACTAGATGCAAGTACTTTATGTACCACACAACTGTTTTTTTAAGTAAACAATGAAACCATCTGATTAACTGGGTGGTAACAGATGTGTAAAGTTTAGGCAGAGTATAGGATGCCCAGTCTACCAGGCACAAACCTTCTACTATAGACACACGCAGGGTGGTTGGATCAGGTGAAGAGCACCCCCTACTGTATATAAAGTTACCTTTGCAGGCATTGAAAAAAAAAAAAAAAGCAACTCACTTTTTCTTGTTTCTGTTTTTCACTAAGTAGAACTGACAGGGAATTACTGATTTTCTTCAAGTCATCGACTTCCACTGTAAAAGAGGCAGAACGAGTTATTAGAAAAAAGCTTCAAAAGGGGAAAAAAGTCATTATAATAATAAAGTGTGAGAACTTTGTGATTAAAATCTTACATGAAATACAAAGTTCCCGAAACAACGACTCCAAGAAACTTGAATAATGCACCGATTTTTCAAACTGGGATATCTTTTCTTTCAGCAACTTTTCAAACTCTGTGAATTCTTCTTTGGAAGATGGACACATGGCATCAAGCCCAGAGACACTGTTAGAAGTGCTGCTGACACCTGAGGAGGGAAAGAAGACCATCAACGTCCATTTGACACATAACGTCACAAAATCCAGTCATTTACAATTCAGTGATGCCATCATACACCGAACAGAGCAGCTCCCATAAAGCTGAGCCAAGTGTCACATTAGATTATTAAAGTTATTGAGGCTTAGTCATAATGTGCGGTTCAGCACCAGGAAACATTTTTTTAAACTTCTAAATGGGGGCGACAGCACTGACAAGCTGAACTCCTCAACATCCCTCTGAGACTAATGCAAAACTTTCAGAAGCAAAACTTTGGGTTAAAAACTATATTTGTTTTTCCACATCCAATCAGCAAATATTATTCTGCCTTACCAAAAGCATCTTTTGCTAGCTCCAAATCTGCATCTTCCTGTAATTTTTTCACCCTTAACTTCTCTGCAAGTTGTTCCTCAGGAGTGAGCTCTTCTTCCTGTCACCGCAAAAAGCAGAAAAAACAAAAAGATTTCCCGTGAAAAGGGCGATAGGTTTTGTGCATTCACATGAAAACTATTGAAGAGGGGGACGAAAAAAAACTCACTTCATTTTCCAACTCCTGCTGCAGCTCCTGTTGTTTCTTCTTTAGACGGTTTTCTTTTTCTTTGATCTTTTCACTCAGCTTTTTCTTTTCAGAGACCTTTGTCTCTGCATGTCAAAACAAAACATTAAAAATACATGTGAAAAAGATCCATCAACAACTCTGAGTCATTTACAGCTGCCAGTTTGTTTAATGAGGAAGATGGAAGATGCCAAACACAAACCTGTTTTTTTCACCTCTGCTTTTTTCGCTCCATCTTCCTCCTCATCATCCCAGTTATCCTGAGAATAAAAAGAAGTCATAAAATACAAAAGGCCAGTGGTTGATTAAGGAGAAAATGCTTTGTCTTAATCTCTTATTTAACTAATCAAACAATGACGTTCTACCTGGCTGGGTTATTGTGTTCCCTGGATTTTAATTGGACGTCTTAATCATGTTCACTGGTTCAATTCCATGAAAGTATCTTACTTATTAAATACTTAAGCTCATTGATAAACAGGTTAAACTTAAGAGTATTCCTTAAGTGCTTGTCTCAAATTCAAAATTTAAAATGAAATCCGAGTCCATCCTTTCTGCTGATGTAAGTTAAGGAAACTGCCTTGTGATGTTTTGTACATGTCACTTGGTTTAGGGAAACAAGTCAATTCTGGTCAGGGAAGTTTCCTCAGATTTTTGAACATTTTTAAAAAATAAATACAGACCCCAAAAAAACAATATCACAACAACAAAAAAAGTGCTCTAGAGGTTACAAGAGAGTAATGTCTTTAAAAAATAGAATTAATTGAACACATGGGTAAAAAAACAAAACTATGAATCTTGAACTTTAAACGTTTAAAATCCAACAGTATGTTCCTTCGACTGAAAGATATTGGCTTATTTTATCTCATTTAAGAGTAGTAGACCTACTACAATCCTATGAATAACATTCAAGACTAATGCGGTGACATTTATAAATCTGAACTTCCTACACACACCCTCAGAGAATTGCTGTGACCTAATAAAACATTTCCCTCTTGGTTTCTTCTTATAAAACTAGCCTATTATTCTGAGTCACGTCCAGCCAGAACAATTCACGACAAATATTTATCTGACACCTAATCCTAAACTCAGCACGGGTCGTTTGTATGTTGTGAAGGCACCGGTTTCTCAGCTTTTGGACACCATATGTCAACTAAAACAATCGAGGCCTCTGCCAGCACATTCCACTGTAAACTATTTGAGGTTTCTGGACAGAAACCAGGTCGACATTCACCTAAAGGCCACCTGAACAGCGGGTTTCTATTGCTGCACACCCGTCGTAAAATTGGAAAGTTCCAGGCCTAGTTCTTCCCAGGGTTGAGTCATCAAACCAGATGATGATTTCATGTGATAGAGGCTAAAGTTGATTAGCAAGCTAACACCAACGCACGTTTGACGTGACTCAACCAGTGGGGAAAAAATCGTAAACTTAAATCATTAGCTCTCCCTAAAAACATTTAACATCAACACTTGCTACTTCGTTTCATACCAAGGTCAACCATTTCGACAGATTTTCAAACCACCGAGTTAACGATGCTACAACCGATGTTATCCGATATTGAGGCTCACTTTCAAAAGCCACTCCACTTGAGTCAGCAAGCTTGCTAGCCAATTGGGCCGGCATGATGTTAGCTTACATCTACGTTGTTAAAATTGCCTCCCGGTCATACCAATATTAGATATCCGAGTTTAAACTCTCACTGACGCAAACCGATATTGTGACTAACTCCTCAACTGTCGGTTGACATGCCTACGGCCGACGAATAACAGCCGATTAAACATTAGCATTAGCCTGCTGTTAGCGGGCAATTCGGTGGAGCCACATGAGTTAGCCGTCAACTAGCACAAAGCTAACCCGGGCTCGGAGGTTAGTACTGACAGGCGAAGAGGAACAGCGGCGAAGCGTGGCATCACAGCCGAACGTTACACCCAACATTCCCCATCCAACAGTTGGCTAAAATCAAACTCGTACATGTGGAGCGCGAGTCACGATGACTTACCTTGACATCTTCTTCTTCGTCCTCGCCTTCCCATTTATCCAGCCCTGGCGCCTTTTTAATCGGCTCCTCCAGCTCGAAGGTGTCAGCGTCTGTAAAAAGAGCAACATGAAATTCGTGAGGCCAATCCACATCTAAAGACCGAGTTGAACAAAAGTAGAGTAAAGATGTCTCGAAACAAAGTCGTTGAAAAGCGGGAGATGTACAGACAGCTATCGCTCCCAACTTAGTTTCTCACCCCAGTCCGCCATGTTGGCTGTGTTGGTTGTGTTTGACAGGCTCGCTGTGAAGTCTGCGCAGCAGCTAGTTGGCCACGTTCAGAAACTGCTCCCACCTTCTGGACGTCACTCCGAGTTCATCTAACGTCCCCACTTCCCTGGCCTACCTCAAACTATTTAACACCGTTACCGACAAACAAATAACGGGACTGAAAGCACCTGGTTTGTGGGGTTGAGCACATGTGAATATATTACATCATACATAAACACATACATATGAATGTATTAGCTAAAAATAACATCTATGAATATAACCATAATATGGACAAAATACACAAAACGGTGACTTTTAGGTGTATACTTTAATCGTTCAACTGAAGTAATATATTTTTTCACTCCAGGTGTCCTTTTAAAAAAAACTATTTAAAAAATCACATGCTATTGTTGCCCATACAATTGTCATATGGAGTCCTCTTGAATCACAGTTCCAAATTCCTCCACATATAATTTTTATTTAAAAAACTTAAACCTACACAAAGGAAACCACTTGTCACCTGTTGGTGAACACAATTGTTTCTATTATTAAGACAGAATTCATTAAAGGGATTTAAAATTAGTCTTCAGTCAGTTAGTTTTTTCCCGAATTATCAGATTCATTATCTGAAAATACAGTATTATTAATAAAACTTGTTCAAATTGATAAAGTTGTGCTTGTACAGGTGAGGATTTCTGTCATTTCTGGCAATTTATAAAAGTCCAACAAAATGTTGGCTGATAGGCAATGACATGGAAGAGTACTTTTCTATGTTTAATACGACATGATTCAAAAATCAGTACTCGAACATTGGAGTATATAAGAGCACTGAGTGTTAGCCGCACACGTCTGCACCCCCACTGAAGTAAAGTGTGAGGCACAAAGAGGGTGTGAGCTGGGATGACATGAGGAGAAAGTCATGCTGTAAAAAGCAATGATCTAATAAAGACATCAACAAAATAATCAGAGAGAGATTAGTTTAATTTGATTATTTTGGACAATATTAACTGTAAAGTGTGCACGACAATACAAAACACACAGCAACAATAAACTGAAGTTAATCGGTGCTAAAAAGTTCTTACTTGGAATTATGTCACCCAACAAGATTATTTATGATATTCAGCAAAGACCACATTGACTTTATTCTACAATTAAAAAAATAAATAAATAACATCGGGTATGTGCAACAAAAGATGTTCTCGTGACATTTTTCTTTTTTAAATAAATTAATGTGAACTTTTATTTGGGTTGCTTTTCTGGGTATGGCTTCACATCCCTGAGAAGGACAGACTGGGACAGCATCATTCCATACAGGTTTACTAAAAAAAATAGATATGTTAGTGTAATGAAAATAAATATCTGTGTAGTATATTTAGATAGAATATTCTGTTTCTCTGTTGCTTTGATTTGGTATGTTGACAGCTTAGCATTGATATCAGAGTGACTTTTGCACAAATCAGATTAAAGATCCACTGCATACAGTTTGTAAAATCCAGAGATGTATCTTAGCTCAGAGGTGTGTTAGTGCACAGACAGATGAATCTCTTTTTGTGGTTATGTGAATTAGGAGACGTCCTGGTCCAGCTGGGTAGAGTGGGTTATGTGTCATGGCAGAGCAGGATGGTCAGCAGTCCCAGAATGAGACACAGGGGACTGCGGCTCAGAACCAGACCCAGTGACCTCCCTACAGGAACACGGGGAAACCAAAATGAATAGAAAGCCATGCAAAACTACGAAAACTAAACCCATTCATTATATTAAAAAAAAACTCTTAAACATTAACTTTAACACTTGCACTTTTCAAAGAAGAGTTCTTAACAGGAGTCCTGTAACTATTTTGAATTTTTGAGGGCAGATAAAAACTTACAGCTAGATGGCATATTGTATGATAATAAATAGAGCTGGAGCCTAACAGAGGTATGATAAGGTTACTCCCATTTTCTGTGAGCAAACTGTGAAATGCTTTTTCTGTGTACACCCCAGTATGTTACAAATGATATGAACACATATATAGAACAGAAAGTCTTAATAATAAACCACATTAGCCATTTTTCTCTGTTTCAGTGTCCCGCTGTGAGTTTGAAATTATTATTTTTCAAGCACACACAGTGGCATACGAGTTTAACTTAGTTCATGTTCGACATGTAAAAAAACAAGCCAAAAAAAAAAACCCCTTCACGGTGATCTGCAGATCACACTATCAAAGGCTTCTGTGTTTCACCTCTGAAGTCAACAGGCCTGTCCTCCCAGGGAGTCAGCACCATGTCTAGAGCTGTTTTCTGAACGTCTGACATAGCAGAGAGCTGCTGCTGAGTTACCGCAACAGCCTGCTCATAGGAGAACATGCTGATCTGTCTTTGGTGAAATGCCACCTACAGAAAATCAAAGAGCAGAGAGGAACTTAGAAGAGCAGAGAAGAAGAGTCCCAGAGATGAATACAGTCACAAGAGATCATATTAGTTTTATTGAGCAATAACAGCATGTTTCATAACTCATAAAATATTCAATTCACTTAATTGTTGCTTTTATGTAATAAGGACTTACAGCAAGCTTTTCAGGTGGTATCACTGAGATAGCCATAGGTGTTATTCCCTCAATTTGCTCTTTCACCAAAGCTGACATGGCCATATCTGGGAGACCAGCTGGAAAACAAGCAGAACATTTCAGACACCAAGGAAGAGCAATAAGTATTTCAGCAAAAAAAAACACTTGAATCTAGCAGCAGGATACATTTACAAGATGCTTAGAAAGCTAAATAGCTTACGTTTACATTTGTAAGCACACGTGATTATGAGCTGAAGTGTGAATACTTGCCTACAAAGTATCAGTAAAAATTAGAATACTGAAAACGCTGAGAGAGCAATACCTGCCAGCACTCCGATCTCGATGAACACGTCGGTCCCCCATGAGCTCATGGGCCCGAAAGCGAGGCTGTGGGTGAGCAGCTCAACAAGTGCCAGCAGCTGCTCCTCTGAGCAGGACAGCCTCAGCTGGCCCAGCCAGAGCACCGCCTTGCTGCAGCCATCAGGCGGAGACACAAGGAGAAAGGTGAACGCAACCGAGCCGGGCGGGGAGAAAGTGGGGCCTGTGGTTTGTTTGCTCACCTGAACTCCACATTGTTGAAGGACTTGATCTCGGTGACTTTGGCGCCGCACACGGCGTGCCCCAGAGCCACCAGCGTGCTGGAGTCCAGCTGGCTCGGAGTCTGCTTGGTGGAGTTCAACACGGTGGTAAACAGAGCAGCCAGCTGGGAAAATGAAAAGAGAGATGATGCCAACACAACCCCGCTTAAAAGGAGCATCCTAAAATAATCCAGATGCATTCAGGAAGTTCCATTTCCATCAAAGGTTTACCTTCTCTTTTAAATGAATCTTTATGGGTATTTCTAAATCTCTGGATTGTTCTGCTCTGGATTTTTGTCGGGCTCTACTGAGAAATGATTCGCCAAAGAAACTACCTGTGCACCGCTCCAGGAACTGACAGCTCCCATAGCACCAATGCTCCTCCGCTCTGTGAGTCGGAGAGCGCTCAGCTCCTGTGGTGGCATTTCTGTAGCTATTCCCCCCAGCTGAGAGATCACAGACTGGGAGAAGGAGGAGACCGGTCCGTGCATCTTCACACACGCAGGTTATTTCCAGGCGAAAGACAAAGCAGAATATTAAAACCTGGCCCAAAGAGGGGAAACTAGAATGATCAGCCAAAATACTCACCATCAGGCGTTCAAAGAGACTAAAGCACGGCAGAAATATTTCTTACCTGTTTGACTCTCTTCAGCACCTCGCTGCGTTGGTAGGACGCCAGAAACGGGTCGAGGCCCATCAGCTCCAGACAGTTGGAGAAGGCGGAGGGGGACATGCTGGTGAGGCTGCTGGAGGTCCAGGCAGACGGGGCTGTGGTGTGCAGAATCTCACAGGTGGGAACCAAAGGAATGGCTGACAGGGGACGCAAACAGGGTGTGCCGTGACTTGGAGAAATGCAGCACTGCCATATTTTTTTCACACCATTCTTTCTGTACACTGTCCTCATTTCAAGCATAACCTAGAAAAATACTGTCAGTGTTGTAATAATTAGATGTCTTCACCATTCATCATATATACTGTCATTTATGGGGTATGGTTGAATGTATCGAGGCTTCAATTTGAACCTCTTTTTAACCCATGCCGCATGCATAATTACCCATTTTTGGTTGAAAAATAGACATCTGATTTTATTGGCAACATAACCTCATCTTGACTGGGATTCATATACAATTAACACTGCATTGAAAAATTATTTCTGCAACAAAAAAAAAGGAAAAAAGAAAATACGCACTTGTATTTTTATGGTACTGGCTCATTTAGGATATCATTGGCATTAACCAAATGTTTAAATGACATACATCGTAGGATATATGACAGGAGAGAGAATACCATCAAAATCTGTGACTGTAGTGAGAACTTGTTTTTTTCCCCCCAACATTTTAAGGACAATTTTAGGCTTTAGTTAAACAGTAGCTTGAACATGACATTTATAGAAATAGAATACATGATTTGATATGTGACATTGTTGCTTAGCAATATCTGACTGCAACGTATCCAAAATAGTTTTACATATAACTACCAATTGCAAAATAAATAAATAATAATGATAAATATGTGTTAATGGTCGTCACTGAGAGTTTAAGTTTGAAGATTTGAAAACAGCACTGTCAACCTTAGTGCTATTGTAGAATTGTGTATAAGACTCATTAGACTTGTCCAATAAAATATTAAATCGTTTCTTTGATGACTTTGTTAAATGTTCTCCTGATGAATACTTTATTTTCCCAAATGTACCAATCCTTTAGAGAAAACCAAGAGACAACAGGAACAGCAGAGATGCTCACATGACAAAGCATTCATTTTGAGGAAGCCCAGGAAAAACTGCAGGACGAACTGCTCTTTTTCAAATAACGTCTTCCTCTCATTCCGGTCCGCACAGAGGCTCCCCACGTCTCCGCATTCCCACTGCCGCTGCTTCATGAACAGCTTCTCTATGCGCCCCACAGTCATCAGCCCCTGCGAGATTTGAAGAAAATCAGTAAAAATAGTTGCATGTGGATAGACGAGAGGACAACAGGAACCTCGTCACCTGATCCTGACACAAGCTGGAAAACTGACACCTGTGTTAGCCCCTCCTTCCCCAGGTTGAATTTCAATCACAAAACCACACTACAGTTACGTGATTGTTGTAAGAGAATAGGTTACATCGGGAGCAACCTTTATATATTTCCTTAAGTCTGAATTTATCTGAATAAAATGGAATTGAATCGTAAACTCACCGGGGAAATCTCCTGCAATACTTTGACAGGCAGGAAGAAAAGAAACCGGCCCACTTGACTGATTGTTGTCTGGTTCCAGTCCTTGACTGGGCTGTGAGCAAACATGCAAACACTTTATGATCTTTCCACATTTTCCAGTTTTGGGAATAGATTTAAAGAGCTTAGGCTGACTTGTAACTTGGATATCTACACAACTGTGTGTACTCAAGCTCTCAAAAAACATCTCATTACAAAAATAATTTCCTTAGCCTTCTTGTTGTCCATTTTCTCCTCAGAGCAACTAGAATTACCCTTTTCTGTAATAACCCTTTTTCATTATGGCAACATTTCATGTACATGGAGGCAAATTTATTAATTACTCAATGCTTTTATACCTTTCACTAACCATTCTGAAGCAGTGTTGTTGTGGTCTGAACAGTATCAGGGTGATAAATATCAAGAGCACATCAAAATTAGTCTTTGATGTGTTATAAATATCTAATATCAATCTAATGAAATTCATTTAACCGTTTTCTGAAATTCACCTGTCAATTCAAAATAGATTTAGTAAATTACAGCTGTTATAAGATGTTAAAATAGTTTGAGTTAACGCTTGCATTGTGACAGTTTAAAGGGTCTGTTTCATGAGAAAATTAAGGTTTTAAACAGCTTGTGTGTAACTACTGGTAGAGGATCAGAGTGTTTTTACGACTAATGTAACTCTAGTAGTATTGTGTTTGCATTTTTGAATGAACTATCAACTGGGTAAAGCCGGTTGTTTTTCTTTTTGATGTGTTATTTGTCTCAGTGTAGTATTGGAATAGATATGCTCTTGGCGACACCTACTGGATGAGAAAAAAACCTTAAAAGCAGTTTTTTTATTTTAACCTGTCTTCTTTGTCTGTATGTGTGAGTCTTTATAAATGTATTGATGTCTAAATATAAACCAGATTAAGGATAAAAATATATGACAAACTCAAACATGAACTGAAGTATTTCTCTTTCTCCTTCTAATAACTCCTTACTTCAACCCTTAAGTACACAACTCAGAAAATTTTCAGATGAACAATTTTTTTATCCTGGACAGTAAGTGTTGACGCGTGTGATGATTTTACCCAAAAGCTGCAGGCTCGAGCAGGATTCGAGCCACAATTTCCATTTTGCGAAGGCTGTAGCAGAGCCCCGTCAGGTAATCCAAATTTTTAGTGAAAAAGCTGCGGTCCACCTGTATGAAGACTTCGTCCACTACAAATGGCGCCATGATGCCCAGCGACCGGAACTCCTTCTCGGTGAACACACCCGTGTACATGCCCTGCAGGGATGAAGCCAATGACACACCGGTGATACTGCAGGCATACCAAACAAGTAAACCAGTACGGGGTTAAGAGAAGAGAACATGAACAAAGGTATTATTTTCTATTAAATAGTTAATATAGCCAGTGCGGCTGCTCTGGACTAAGCTGTTTGAAAAGGTTTTTTTTTTTTTAAAGGGTAGTGTGAATACTAAGCACTTTTTAGACCAAATAAAGATGGACATTTAAATATGCCCACTTTAAAAGCCATTTGAAAATAAAATCTACGCCAGTAAATTATTTGGTCTCCATCTTCCTGGGGAATGAAAGAAGGGGAAAGTGGCAGTACATATGGACTTACCATCCTCTGAACCATTTTGTCCACCAGCAGCTCCTGTTTTGTTCTAGAAAGCATGAAAAAGTGACGAGGATCGCTGATGATCATCTTCCTCAGAGTGTCCATCATATCTGCCGGAAACTTCTTGATAGTGCTTACCCTGAGGGCAAGGTAGTGGACAAACAAGCGCAAGTTTCAATGATCATGTCCGTTTTAAATGTGTTTCATAAATCACCGGAGAGCTAGTTGTCTCCATGTAGCGCTCCATTGGCAGAAAAAATAAATAGACTACACACAACACAAATTTGCTTACTTAGACAGAAACCAATAATAAGGGATAAAATTATTGATTAAATTATTATTGGAAGCAGTAATCCAATCCAACGTAAGTTTTTTTAAGCGTTAGACTCACGGCATGGACAGAGCGATTTCAGCCCCAAGATCCTCAATCAGCTCGGAGAAGAACTCAAACTGATACAGCTCCTCAAACACACACTTTTTCTGCCCAGAAGACATGACATGCTTTCATATACACATGGCTTACGGAAAAAACTGAGTCAACCAAGTCGAAATTTTGCGGGTGATCAAGCAGATGAGATTACCAGTGAGGTGTGAAGAAGACCTGGCTGCTGCCTGAGGAAGGCCAGAATCTTTTTCACCGATGTGGGAGAGGCATCAGTCTTGAAATGCTCCTTTAAAACGGTGCAGCTCACACCCTGACCCACCGTTCCCAGACTCCTAAACACACACAGCTCAACGTCAGAGAAGACCCGCCTGTAAAGCTCCAAAAATGATGTAAAAAAGGAGCAACCTGGCTAATTCCTGCACACCCATTTTCAGGGTTTATTATATGAAAAACTATGTGGCTGATTATTAAACCATGGCCAAAAAATTTTTAAACATCTTGATAAGTCACAAACGTGATTTTCAAGTCAAATGGTGTGTTTTATTAACGTGTTGAAACTATAGATCAAAACAACATGATAACAATAACAACAACATAAACAGTATTTCTCCTTCTTGTCTTGGATGAAACATAATATCTGTTTTACAACAAATTAATGAATATTTTATTAATGTGAGTTAAATGGAACATAAGGAAGGTTAAACACGACCACTAAACACATGTTGCTGAGATCAGGAGTGACTCTGCTTTTAAAGAATCGTGGTTGCACTAAACTAATACTATGTCATGAAAATCAAGAAAACTCTGTGAAACAGATATTTCTCACAGAGATGATCATACTCACAGGAAGTCCTGTTTGACTACATTTGGATTCAGTTCAAGGAGAACTTTGAAAATTGCTGTAGCCTGGAGAAAAAAAAGGACAAATGTGTTACATAAGTTTACATTCAAACTGTCTGTGATCCTTTCTTTTCCAGTTTCCATGATGAGACACAATGGCCACCTGATATGGAGACAGTTTTTGTTTGTGTCCATTCACAGTGTCAGTGACAAATAAGCCTTTGCTTCTCTGATTAATCATTTATCAGGCAGTCAAGACGCTGTGATACACAATGTGTCCGAAAAAGAGAGGGAGCACCAATACGACCAAAAGCAAAACTCATTTAGATAAGCTGCTATTTCAGTGTTTTTTCAGATTTTCTATATTGAAACATTTTTTTTCCTCTGATATTTTCTAATATGATATTTTCTATGAGGTGAGCTGGAGAAAGATGGGCTGTGTGACACCTGCTGTGTGTTCCAGAACTCCGTGGATACATTGGGGAGTTTGTTCACCAGCAGACGAGTCCTTGGCAGGACACTGAGCAAGGGGGTGCAATTGAGCAAAGGCTCCACATCGTCCAACCAGTCGACAACTTCTGGAAAGCCCTGGTCACACACAGGAAAGACGAACAAGGAGCAGTGCTGCAGCTGCCATTCACCGGCCAAAAACTGTAAAAACTTTCCCTCTTTTGATCATAATTAATAAGGATCAGTAGGAAAATGGAGATTCAGTCGCTACCCATAATTTTGTTGCAATGGCGTTGGACTCAGGTGGGCCGAGGCCCTGTCTGAGTGCTGGGCAGCGGCCTTTTGTCCGCCGGCCAATGGCTCTCAGGGATGAGCGCAGTCTGTCAGAGGTGAGGGAGAGCAAGGTCTCGGCCTTCACTCCAACAACGAGCGAGCCCAGCTCCTGCAGCTGACCGGGGATCAGCTGCTTTGAAATGGAGGGGGGAGTAGATTTAAAAGTCAGCGCACCGACACGTAAATCTCTCATCTAAATTCAGACGAGATTGCTTTTAAATGACGATGTTACTCACCGTGCTACCGGAAGACAACTTTTCCACAATTATAGACGCCTGAAAAAACACACAGAGCACAAAAACAGGGTGAGTGTGCCGGTCTCGTTGGCTAAATTCTGTAATAAATGCTTCCGCTTCAGATGAGAGAAAACGATTAAGTAAAACTCAGGTGTTCTCCTTGTGAGCCACCTCAGCAGGGGTCAGGGGTCAGGGGTCAGAGGGCCGGTCACCTGTTCCCACCAGCTGCTCGGCCAACCACCCACAACGGATAGCAGCTTGCGCAGTGAAATTGTCTGACCCCAACCCCCCCACCCCACCCCAGCGGCTGACGCAGAACCTTAAAGACTCAGTATGCTAATAAAAACCTTGAGCGGACTGCTCTACCTGCGCCGGGGTGAACGAGACGGAGCTGATGGCGGGGAGGGCGGCGAGCAGCTGCGCCGCCGTGAGATTCTGCAGGAAAGTCCCGCCGAGCGAGGGCAGGAGGGGGGCCAGCTCAGCCAGCCGGTCAGCACCCAGCGAGGACGGGACCTGCAACTCCGGGCTGTTCAGTAACAGATTGGAAACCTAGAAACATCACAGTGCATAGTCACAATGCACAGAGACAAAAGCATGGGTTTAATCAACACTTACGCTGAAACAAATGCCTGACAAAGAATTGATAAGGCAGGCTTTCGGTTTTCTCTTTTCCTACCAGCTGGCTGGGCAGACTGAGACCTTTGAGCGTGCAGTTCATAATGCTCTCCTGGATCACCCTGAAGGCCTCCGTGTCTTTGTACGCCAGCAGATCCTCCGGGTCTGATAGGCATGTAATCTTCCCCAATCTAAATGTGCAAACATAGTTTTGTCACACACACACGTTTATGCATGTAATTGAGATTTGGTAACTGAATTTACGAAAGACAATCAAACGTGCCCTGAGGGGTTTGATATGTGGTCATTTCTAACCTGACAAAGTCATCAGCTGTTAGGTTTCTGAAGGAACCGATGAGGTTGTTAGCCACGAACTCCTGCTTTAGGGGAGTGAGAGGGTTCCTCTGCAACACATCCAAACCGTCTAACAGCTGCGGATAAACACCAGAGCATCTACCTTAAAAATATATATTTACTCAATATGTTTGTAATATTACCTAAAAGCACAGCATGTTTTACCTTTACTGTACACCTACTGAATCATATCAGAGGTTTTAAATTCACATAAGAAAACACATTTAATATTTAATAATTAAACTATTCCTTCCAATTCTTTTTTTAATTTGAACAGTTAGGTGCAGAGAGACATTCTTAATTCATACGTAGCTATCTTGAGCCACTAAACAAGACCCATGAGTGTGTGACACACTGAAAAAGAGGAGTCTGCACTTTTCTACTGAAAGGTGTGTGACACAGACCTCTGCCACACCCGGGGCCCAATCGAACTGTGTTCTGACTTCTCCGATTTCCCAGCTAGGTGTCGGAGCTCAGAGGGACGTTACCTGAGCAGCTGAGAGGTGTTGAAAGCTCTGGAAGGGCAAGTAGGCGATCACGTTTCCAGTATCTCTGATGAGTGACTGCTGACCTCCGATGATGCTGGAGGTGGGCAAAACATTGCTGTACCAAAGGCCAAACGCCTCCCGCTGGTCCATGCTCATGCTGTCCAGGTTTCTGTTAATAATCTCCCTTCTGGAAAAAGCAAATACTCTGGGTATTGTCGGACAATTGCACAATAATTTCAGTTACTGCATTTGGTCTATTTGAAGGACTGTATTCAAACATCTGAAAAATATCAAACCCAAGCCTGGAAATGAAAATAATTTGTGCAAATAAATGAAGAATTTCCTTTCTATTTCATAGATGTTTAAAAAATGAACGTCTGTTTTCAGCAAGGAGGAAAAACCTTTGGTTAGCATAAAAACTAAAGAAAAGACTAGAAACTATTAGCATGGCTGGGTCTAAGCATGGAAATCGTTGCTATAACAAAAAATAGGGAGTGATGACTTCACATAATCTGTAGAGTTTATGTTTTTTTTATGCCTGGTGTGTCTTTACCACCATTAACAGTAAACTGAATCAACTCCCTGCTGGTTATAGCTCCAAATCTACTGATTTACACAACTCACAGCTGCATTATTCAAAGCTGAAAAAAACCCCCACCCAAGTCAACTTCCCAAAAAGTAAAAATGCTCCTTTAACTGGAATGTGACAAGAAATTAAATCTCCTTCTCGGTGGAAATCCAGTCACTGAACGGGCTTCCTTTGCTCTGTATGTATAATGTATGTCTCCGGCAGCCCGTGGCACAATGATACATCACTTCTCACAGGTGCCTGACACCCAAGGTGTGTTAGAATGGGGAGATAACGTATGCAGGTAAGTGAGACCACACGACCGAGTGCAACTGAAACAAATCATGGTGTTCATTACCTTTCTGGGGAGATAGCACGGACAGAGAGACCACAGTGATTAAATCAGTAAATACAACTACTGTACAGGTCTGACTTATCTGAAACACAGAATGTGTGGAGGCTATCAGAGCAAACTAATATATCTGATGAAGATGGATGATTTTACCCATCAACACGCCACAGTTTTCACTGTGTGGAGTTTCACGTTCGGTTATATAAGTCAATCAGCCCAGACTGTGGCCAGGGCATGTTCATTTCCTCTGTCACAAGACAGAGGAAATTAAGGAGAGACATTAGCCAAATAAATAGTCAAGTCTCTCGTGAAATAAATTTAAATGGTTCTTGGACAGTTTACGTTTTTGTCATCTACTGTAATGGAAATAACTGTCGTATGCCCCTGTTTAAAGACACAGTCCAAACTTGATTGTCTGTAATATGTTGTTTAAATATTACTTTGATCAAAATTAAATCTATAGATGGAAAGACCAAAGAGAGAAACATGCAGCGCTGGATCGGTGCGATACTTCAGCACCACAGACAGCACCGAAGATTTAGCTCTTGGGATTTCAGATAAAAGAAACTGCTTTAGTTTCTAATGTGAACAGCTTATGAACACATTAACTTAATAACTTATAAAATGATGACAAAAAACTTAGATTCTGCACCCCCCTGCTCGTACAGAGAAGAAATCGCCTACTTTATCCATCACTTAGCTTCCTGCAGCTATTCAACATGTAAGTGCACACAGACAGAGAGCAGGGCAGGAGATTAAGCCCCACATAGGGAAAAATGACTCATTTCAACAAATGTGTAATATGTGTCCAAACGTCCTGCTGTACCCACTCGTCTTTCAGAGACCGAGCCAACCGTTTTCATTTTTCACTCTAATGGGAGCTCCGGCTGTCTGACTAATTTAACCAACAGTTCCCATTACTACACCATTACTTACACGTTGGCGTTGTTCTGCATGGGGGGGAAGGCCTGGATGTCAGATGGGCTGGCTGCAGTGAGGAGGGGCACCAGCTCTGGGAAAAGCTTCGGATCTGAAGCTAGGTGGGTCTGCAGCAGCACCGACACCATGGTGGACAGGTACTTATCAGACAGCTGGAGAGCAGAGCGAACGGAATCAGCAAGAGCACAACTCTTTCAACTCTGTAGACTTAACAGATGTAGGTGGTGTCATTCTCAGCGTGAAGTCTCGTGCTGAATCACCTGCAGCGTGTTCTTGATTCTGCCGTAGTATTGAAGGATCAGCCTGACCGTGCTGACGTGTGCGGCCTCCAGCACCGGCCTCAGACTGGTCAGCGGTAAACTGAAGTACTCCTACGCACAAAAGAGGAAACACAATCAAACGAGAATATTACAGAGAACAAAAAACGGTACACAGTCAAATTTGAGGTAAGATGCAATCAAACCTTGATGAGAACGAGTTCCTCACTGGTCACTTCTCTTGTTGTTTGCAGCAAGCTGCTGAGGACAGTCTACAGAGGGAAAACACAAGAAGATAGCAGATAGGCCTACCGGCTGAGACCCGGAGCTGTACAAAGAGTTTACAGAGAGACTTTCGGTTTCGTCTGATCAGTGTATGCTGACACTGTATTGTAGCACCATTTTCTCCAATATAGAAGTGATGTGATACATGAAAATGACTCAGAGGTCAGAGATTCATAAAAAAATCATATTTCATATTTTGGTACTTTAAACAAAAGTTTTAATCAAATACTTTTAACTGTGTGATTTTGGTGAGCGGTATGGCTTTTTCCCAGCAGAGCATGCTCCTGCTGTTTTTGTTACTGCTGCTAGTCTATGTTTCAGTGTTATTAGGTAAGATTGGGTTCCATTTTTACCCCATTTGATGGGGGAAAAAAACGGTTTTGTGATTAAACAAAAGCACAATTAAACATCCTACCCCAAAACACTGCAGCAGAACCCTCTTTTTGTCGGGGTTGTCCTCCTTCTTGAAATACTCAACAACAGACTGCAGCAGGCTCCGCCTGATGGTGTCGGTGACGTGCCATGAGGTGCCCTGGACATCCTCCATGAACAGCAGGATCACCACGGTTGTGCTGACCACCCGATCCAGCACCGTAGCCACGGGTGTGGTGAGCAGATTCTCCGCTCTGGACCTCAGACTCTCCACCCAGCAGCGGACTATCATCTGCAGAACCATGTTCTGAGTGGCGCAAGGCTGGCAGTCCGAGACAAAGTAGGCGGGGCAGATCCACTGGAACTGCTTCATCAGGTTTTTCATCACGCAAAACCCAGAACCTGGAGAGGTGCTGTTGTTGGAGGTGTAATTGGTGTACGTTGTACACATGCTGCTGACCCAAGCGCTGGACGGCTCCCGGGACAGAAAGAGGAGGAGGCCGGCGTTGGGGCAGACGGACGAGACTAAATTTCCCTGGTCGTGCTCCCAGCACAGAGCCAGCAGGGCCGCATCTGGTGGAGATACCATCCAGCTGGAGTACTGACACTGCTCCGCGGGGACGAACCCGGCCAGGCCTCCTCCGTGTCCCCCGCCTTCACCCGGAGAAATGCCCGGGCTCGAGTGGTTGGCACAGTGCTGGATCAGCCAAGTGTTGTCCTGATTGGCCAGCAGGTTCTGGAGGACTGTGTCATTAGCGCAGACTCTGGAGGTGAAGTTGTGCGGGTCAATCTCAGCGCAGAGGGCCAGCTCAGTCATGTCCACGATGATGGGTCGGGACCAGTCCGAGTACCTGCACACCTGAAATACACCAATGAGGTCAGAATCAGTCACAAAGCCAGTGACTTGTTCCAAAATCATCTATGGTGGTAGTTCAAATTAAATATCTATTGGCATTTAAACTAATGCTTTTAGTTTTGTATTGTGGATTTAACAAAACATTAATGGTTCAACACTACAGGAACATTTGTGTGTGTATGCATTGTTGGGCTACTACTTATAATGATAACATTTGCTCATTCTTTTTTCTAACCAGGGCATCAGATTTCACCCACCTGTGGTGTTACGGTTATTTCCTCTAAATCGGTACAGACTGATATGAGCCATTTGTTCTGAGGGTTTTCCAGCAGCTTTTCAAACACGGCCTCCTCGCAGCAGACCTGCTTGTGGAAGGCGCTCTGATCGTTCTGCCAGCAGAGCCCGACCACCGAATCGTCCACCACTCGTTCTCCCCACGTGTGGTAGTCGCACCAGCCGGCCAGGTTCAGAGGCTGCGTGGGCTCGGGTGTCGGGAGTCTGAACGAGGCCTCGCAGTGCGCCTCCAGCCAGGCGTTGCCGCTGTCGCGAAGCAGGCCGTCTAAGAACGTTTTGTTGGAGCAGACCTCCCTCGCGAACCCGGCCTGGTCGTAAAGTATGCACTTGGACAAAATTTCCGTGGTCACCTGCGTCACGTCGTGCCACTCCGAGTACCGGCAGGAGTCTAACTGTAACTCGTTCGGGCCAAAGAGCGGGGACGGAGGGGGGGCGTTTGTACAGTTGGGCATGATCCTCCAGTTTTCGGGGTTGGACATTAGCAGCATCAGGAACCCGGTGTGCTCGCAGATGTAGCTGGTCAGTCTCGGCCCGTCGAGGGTCAGGCAGAACTCCAGCAGGGACGGCCCCACGGGGGCCGTGGGTTGGTTGATCCACTGCTCGTAGACGCAGAACTGACCCACCATGTAGCCGGGGTTCGCGGAGGAGTTGGCGCAGTATCCGTACAGCCACTCGTTCATCTTGTCGGAGAGCAGCTTCCGCATCAGCGCGGCGTTGTCGCACACCTGCCTCACGAACTCCGCGCGCTCATTATCACCGCAAAGAGACACCAGGACAGAGTCCACCGCGCTGCTCTCCAGCCAGCCGTTGTAGTCACAGGCCAGCAGCTTCAGGTTAGAGGCTTCTCTAGGAACCCGGTGAGGTTCAGAAGGATCTAGGGGGGATGACCCGTAGGGAGGTGTGACTACAGGGAGAGGCTGGAGGTCCTCATTGCTGCAATCGGGCGACCTGGTGACCAGTGGAGAGACCAGGGCTTGGGCAACGTAACACATGTTGCTCCAAGTCCGCTCCACCTGGCCACGGCTGAGGGAGCCCAGCGCGCGGCAGAAGGCGGACACGGATACGGGAAACCCGCCCCCAGAGCCCAGGAGGACGTCGGCGCACAGCGTGTCGTTGAGGGTGGCCAGGCTGCCGAGGTCGCACGGGACCTCGTAGCGGACGCGGGTGCGATTGGCGGCGTCCGAGGCGCTGCGCTGGAAGCTGGGAGGATTCTGGCACTCCCCCAAATATGTGTACGATGACCCTTCAGACGGCAGGAGGTTCTCCAGGAGGATGTCCACAAGGGGGATGCTGAAAGACCAGCTGATGTTGTGCTTCATTCCCCTAAAAAAAAGTAAACAATAAAAACATGCATCAATGACATTCAAATTTGGAAGGTGAAGCTTTGAAGAGAACTTCTGAAATGAGAAACAATACAGCCGAGGGCCCTTCAATATCTAAGAATAAGGCAAAATGTATTAAATTTCTCTTGTAATATTGTAAGAAAACAGACCTAAATTATCAGCAAAACAAATTAAACAAGTGAGCGAGACTAAACATCATTCACCTGAACCCAAAAAAGAAAGTTGTATTTGAAATGAAGACTAGGAGAACCTTTGTTTAATAACATTATACTGGCAGAAAAACATAAAGCATGCATCACAGTGATTGCCATTACTGCTGAAGTGAAAGCTGTCCTTTAGGCATTTTGATTTTCGGCCTCCACCCAACATCTGTATCCATACAATGTATTTTTAGTGTTGGTGACTGGACATTTCTTAATTAGGTACAAGTTAATAGTTGCTATTAACTTCTACTTGGATGCTTGGAGGTGCACAGGTTTATACCTTTATTTCATGCTCCATGCTTTACAACACTGCCCATAAACTATTGAATATGCAGGGGAAAAAATTAGAGAGCAACACAGCAGTCCTTAAGAATTTGCTGTATTATATTATATGCATGTGGATTTTCAAGTTGGCATAATAAGAGTGAAGAAACAAAGCAAAAAAGCTAATAATGGAGGAATTTTTCTGATCAATCGGGACTTCACTGATGTAGAATCATAGAAGCAACGGGTTTAATTTCAGTAATGAGCACTTCAATCTGCAAAGAAGTGGACAAACTGTTGATAAATAAGCACCTGCAACTGATCAAACTCAAAATGCTGTAAATGGGCTTTGTTGAAAGGAACACAGCCCACGGGTGTTCATCGGGTTCACGGCAGCCCATAGGCCTCTTTCATACAGTTATTATCAGTCGCAATATCGCAAGGTTAAAGTTTAATGAGGTGATTATTGATAACAATAATCTCTCCAAAAAGAGAAAAACTCTTTAATGACTCACCACATGATGAGCTGTTTGAGATCTCCTGCAGAAAGAAAGGGGAAAAAATAAGCAGAGCCATAGAAATGTGTTATAGAAAACAACATTACACAACGTGGCTGCATCTTGGAAGAATCTTAAGATGACATGTGCTTGGATTTAAAATGAACTGAATAACATGATGTTGTACAGTTTAGTTTCACCTTGAGTGCAGGTCTCCTCTTCATCTAGTGACGGGACTTTAATTCCAAGCTGCAAAGCTATTCTGATATAGTCCATGGGTACTTGCAGAATGGTTGCCGTGAACTGTAACAAATACGTGGCGGCTGTGTCCAGGAAACCACGGAAGGGCCTTATCAAATCCTCAGAGAGAGACAGGCTGGACAGAATGTTGATAAAAGTCTCCTGGAAACCGCTCACAGCGGCCGTCATAGTTTCCCCCATCCTGAGGTACGTCCCGAAGAAGCTACCGGACTCTCCCTCGGCGGTCAGAGGTGGACAGGTCTTAGTTCGCAGCGATGCCAGAAAGGCCAGCAGTGGCTGCCCCAGCTCCAAAAGCACTGCCTTGGTCAGTTCTGCCTCCAGGCCACAGCCCTGTCTCTCAGAGAGGACACAAACCAATAATTCGGGAAGGTCTTCGAAGAATCCTTCTCTCGTCAGCGGCTGTAAGAGATGGTAAAGGTTGCTCAGAATGCTGTAGTACGCATTGAGGTCTAGGTCCTCCTCTGTGGACGGGGCGCTGCGGGCCTTTCCCTCCGACAGCAAGTGGATTTGATCAATTACTCCCTTTATGTCCTCCTCTAACTTCTTCACCTCACTGGGCTGATTGGTAATCCTCGGGATGAATTTGGGCTGCGAGAGCACCTGCCTGATGTCGCCTGTGATCCCTGGAGGGAACAAGCAGTGACAATGTGCGGTGATGTTCAATCTTTACCCAACCAGATCATCACAGAGAATGAGGATATAGTTTTATTTTCATTTTGCAAAAATATTGAGTTAACCAGAAGGCTTTATGAGAGGAAATGTGTTCATTCAAACACCAAGAAATATATATTAATGGTTGTTTCTGTGTTAAACTCAACTATAACAACCATTTTATTTCTAGTGCTAATTGTTTTTTAAAGACTAAGCAACCAATTTGATAAATCAATGTTTTGTACTTACCAAATAAGATGCACGCAATGTAAAAAGCTCCTGTGCACCACATTTTAAGTGTCGAAGGTAAAAAAAAATAAAAAAATCCAGGGGATAACAAACTTTTATCAAGTCCACTTTGTCCTGTTTATGATGAGAAACTGCTTTTCTGAGGTGGAAGAACCGGACTCATAATTGTGTTAACGCAGGAGGAGTTGTTCCTGGAACAAAAACTCCACTTTCTTCAGGTCTATCTTCAGGTTGAATCTTCGCCCTTCTGGCTGAGGTGTTGCACGGTGCTGCAGGGTGCCAGAATCCGGGTGGATCTGCAACTCTACACCTGATCCCACAGCAGCGGAATTACGGACACCGGTAACAGGGGGTGGGGGTGGGGGGTGAAAAGGAGGTGCGAAACGAGGGCTGTAAAGAGCCGGAATGGATTTCGAGAACAAGCACGGCAATCGGTGTTGCATTATTCATGGAGGCGTGTTGATTAGCTCCTCCGTCTGAAACCAGACTCCGGCCAGAGGAGTCAGAAGACACCGGACCGACTGATGGAGGAACGAGGCGACATCTGCTGCCATCAGGCCGATCTACGCTCCATCACTCCCATTTACAAGCTGCCATTTAGACGAGACGTTTTCTGGCTCAGGGAGTCACGAAACGCAAACCAAGGGATCATTTAGGAGTTAGAAGTTACTTGCTAATGATAATGTTTATTAGGTCTAGTTTCCCCCAAGCTATTTGGAGGTTTCAATACAATACAAAAAACAGCTAATTTGAATAATGAATGTATGCATGAAATGAGTATATTTGCAGTTTAAAAGCAAAACACATTTTACTGAAAAATAATAGGAAGGAAAAATGTGTGCTTTTTTGTGTCTATATTTGTCTCAGATGATTTTTCCAGTTATCTTAAACGTAGTTCCAGTCGTTTTGTTTAGTCAGTTTCTTATGTTGGTCCATAGTTTTTGTCACCACACTCGTCTAATTGGAAACGTGCGGCATTCGCTGCCACCCCGGAAGTCCTAGCTTCTGAACAGGAATAGAGAAGAAAATGCAGAAAATGTGCATCTTAATGTCCCGTATAATGTGGTTTTAAACGTTACAATTTGAAATCCTCGTAGGCGTCCTGTTCCCCCCACACTTGCACATTTATCATTTTTAAAACGTGTATTTGAGGGCAAATTAAATATGTCAACGTTAAGATTTTATGTCAAGATTACTGGAATACATTAATGATAGTCGAATGCTGGTTATTTCTTGAGTCACAGCTCATGGAAGTCAGCTATACATGACAATAGCCGACCCATTAACACAAAGATCAGTTATTGGTCTGCTCGAAGTCAAACTTCTTCAAAAATGCAAATGAAAAAGGCTGTAACATTGTAATTTTTTTTAGCTGGGCTGGTGTGATCTTATGGTTGTATTCCCTAGCTGTAATAAGACAGGAAAACACACCTCTTCAAGATTCAGTGTTGCTGATGGTCCTAAGCATTACGTACAGCAGGATATTGAATAGTTTAAAAAAAGAAAAAGCAACATCTCAGTAAGACCTGTCATGAAATTGGTTGTGGATGCCGTTTTGTGGCAAGTTTGAAAAGATGGAGAACTGTTAAAATTAGGTGAAGCGAGAACAACTAACTCCTTGTGAACGGACTTGGTTAGTAACAACTTAGCAATTTAGCAAGAAAAATAACTAAGATACATATCTGGAATCAATAAATAATCTACAAGTAAAAGCCAAGCGAGTGTGTGTTCTCACTTTAAGGTTATCTTCATTATTGGTCCCACAGCTTAAAGCATCTGGTGCATTAGAGGGGAACAAAAAACATAAGGGCATGCAAGGTGTTTTTGACTTTAAAACTTTGTTTCAGAAATTCAATGTAACTGTATATACACTTTACAATAGCATACAGCCTGATAACAAAAAATGTCTTAACACGTTTTTAAATACATCTTCAGCACAACCAGTAATTCTTGCAGGTGAAATGGCTTCATGGATATTCGAGAGAAATCATCAAGACAAACTCTTTTCTGCAGAAAAAGTGCCATGATCGAAATTTAATTCATGACTTTCCCCACAAAGCAAGCTGTATTGTCTACATGCTAAAGTTTTAACAGTTCAGTGACACTGCGCTAAACTAAACAGATATCTGTAAGAAAAAGAACAAAAAGAGAAACACTCCATCTGATGTAAAGTTAAATCTTCATTAATACATTTAAAGTAGATATGCCATGCCTTTTGAATTAAAAAATACAAAAGATTTTCCTTATTTTAAGGATTAAAAAAACAAAAAAAAACAAAGAAGCTGCATGTATTGTACTACACTCAGTGTACAATAAACTGGTAATGCACATAAAAATGAGCTGGACGAAAAGTATCAAATGCCTCCCACTGATCCTGCTGCTGGAAGCCACCACTGCTAAATTTTACACGAATCGCAAAGCCGACAGAGGAAACGAGCGGGCCTCGCCGCACGCTCAGAGTCAGGCCTGCATAATACATGGCAGTCGGGTTGGCCAGAGATCACGACAACAGGCTGGGGTCGCCGTGGTGAGACCTCGGGACACATTTCCGAGTCCAAGCATGTCGCTTTTAAACCTCCTCAACAAATACAAAGCCTGTATGTGTGCTGCCACCATCCCTCCTCGCTTTTGTTTTTTTTGTTATTCTTTTTTTCTACACCGGCAAGGTCAGGAACAAAACTGAATTTGGAAAGACACTTAAGCCTTCACCCCCCTCCCGCCCCCCAACCCCATCTACAATTTACATTCATAGTCTGGACACGTTCACTCGAGAGCACGCCGAGTAAAAACGCGGAGGTGCCCTTTAACATTTTCACTTGAATAAAACCTCATTTCTGGAGAGCTACGCTCTCGTGATCAGAAAGAAGGCGAGCACTGAGCAGACGGGATCAGCTTCTTTCTCATCTCCTGTGCCAGGTGAGAGAAGTAACGATTGTTTGGGCAGAGCGGGATTCACCTGGAAAATTTACACACGGGGCAACCACCTCATGAGAGTCACAGTAAAACGACACGTACTGCACATCAGAGAGAAACCAAAGGGGAGCGTTCCGGGATCTGCAGAGCTTTGAGGCCTGATTGTCTCGATCCGAGCATTTCGTGTTTGGGGGCACGGTAAATGCCGCGAAGGGGGAGGGGGGGAAGCTGAGGGGGACCGGGAACTGTATGGCACTGTACAGGCAACTAAAGCGCCCACGTCTGCTCCGAACATAAAATGCACTTTGATACAGACACACACTCGGAAGAAAAAAATAAGAAAAACAAAAACAGAGCATGCCAGTCGTCGGCCTCTCAGTGGAAGTCTGGGGGGCGTCGGTGCAGGCCGGAGCTGCAAACCCGCCTCCCTTTAATCCCACACCGATGCCAGGAAAGTTCAACAAGACTCAAGCAAAAAGGTCAACACGGGCAAAAAAGAAAAACAAAGTATGGTTTCCGTTCTCAAAAGCAATCGTGCAACTCAACCGAAACAAAAGGAGTCGCGGAAATGAGAAGAAATGCTTAAAAAGGTACAAAGGAAAATGCTGAAACAGACAGAAAGGAGCAGCCAGACAGGCCGATGGATGTGGCTGCTTTAGCATCTACACACACACACACACACACACACACACACACACACACAGGCAGAGATGTGCTACATTGGCCATAATGCTACTCATACAGCAACGCAGTTAAACATTTCAACTTAAAAGAACAGAGCGCCGAGTCAGCCAGAATACATGATGAGTAAAAGACAATACTGATTACAGAAGAATGACACAAATCAAATACTATCGTTAAAGAAAAGGTAAATGTTGACATTTTGAAAATGAATGCCCTCTAACCATTACAATGCATCAGATTTACAGTCAAGATTCTTAACCCTAACGTCCAAAAGATTCACGCTGTCTAACACTATCAGGAGAACGAACCTTTAGATCCCAGATTCATTTGATTTCATCTGACATGTTCTTCTAATAGGGAAAAAAAGGCTTACAATAAAACATGACCCCTTTTTTAAAATACATCTTACAAACATAGGTAAAACATCTCTGAAACACTAGCATCTTTTTTTTTTTTTCTCCTTTAAAAACAATGAAAGACCAGTTTTACCAGAGAGAACTGCGACCGACAATAGAAACTTGACAGAGCTACGGAGGAATGCATATGATTTTTAAAGGCTACAGCTCGAAAGGTTTGCCCGAGCACCAGATCTGTGTGTGGATGCGGCCCGGGGCAGACACACACACACACACACAGATTGATTTACAGGCCAGTCATTCCTGCTGGAATCGGTCTGCGGCCATTACTCGTGGGCGTCAACAGCGCGAGCACCAGGGGGTTGGTTTGTGTTCAGGGACTCCGTCGGGGGGGGGGGGGTTTCTCCTTCCGGGGGGCATTCTCACGTCCACTAAACCAGCACCAAGACGTCAAAATTCAGCATGGAGCTGATTTTTTTCGGGCTCCACAGCTCTAGAGTCCACCTGGGCTTGTTGGTAGTGTGTGTGTAACTTCATGTCTCCTTTAAACTTTTAAAAATGATTTTTTTTTTCCTTTTGTTTTTTTTTTTTAGAAAATTACACCCAGATCTTTCAAAAACTTTGAAGTTTCTCTTTAAAAAAAAGAAAACAAAAGTGGATCTTAAAATAAGACAGAAAAAAAAAGGGGGGGGGAAAGGCCTGAATTTTTTAAAAAGTAATAGCAATGTTGTAGTTTGTAATCCAGAGGCTTCTTTTTCTTAAAAAAACAACGAAACAAACAAAAAAAAAAACATGTTTTTCAGTCTTCTCATCTTTTCCCATCCTGAGAGGCTGCGGCTGAGTTCAGTCGGGGGGCAACAGGTCGTGGAGCCGGAACCTCTCCCGAACGTGTGGCCGCACGTCCTCGTTCTGATGTGGTCAGCAGGCGGGACGGACCCCGGCAGGAGGAGATAAGAGGAGTTAGTTCTGATAACCAGTTGCGCCTCGATTTAAATGAGAGGGTCCCTGAACCGGTTCAGGGGGTGGAACAGCTTACCATCTCGACCAAGTTTTCCAAGAAGGGCACCAGCTTCAGAAGCTCGTTGTCGTTTTTATCCATGAACCAGCTCTCGATGGGAATCCCATTGGACAGCTGTTGGGACACCAACACCATATTGAGCATGTTTGCAAAATAGCATGCTCTGTGTGCGTTAAACTGAGCACGATTGTATCGAACAAATGTAATGACATTAATAAATCACAGCCTCTGTTCCTGATGTTCTGGTGTTGCAGATAGTCGGCCTGAAAGTTTGAAGAACCCATTTTACATTCATGAACTACAGTAATTAGTAAAAAGGTTTCTGTGAGCAACTCAAACTCAAAGAAGCAGTCACCCCCTCCTTTATGTTTGTGACTCACTTCAAGTGAGTCACTCAGATAAACTGTGCATGTGTAGTTTGGCTGTACACAAATAACTAAAAGCTCAGCCGCTTCCTATGGTAAAAAAAACCCCAAACAATAGAGACCTGTGATATGGGGGATTGAGTGGCGTTTTGCGTCATGCTTTCACCTGATATGCAAAGGCTTGTGGTGAATTGTCGATGATGATGGTCTTTGACAAGTCTCTGCCTAAGATGTTGAGGTCCTTGATATAGTTTCCCTGGACACAGACACAGTGCTCCCGAAATAGCCTGTGTCTGCCATTGTAGTGGGGGACGAGGAAAAGAGAGACAAAAAAGGACAATCAGCGACAGGGTCAGTGCCATCGATTATTCAAAGGAACAACCACACCGACACCTGAACAGGAGCACATGTTCACACGGGTGCACCTGGGTCTCATTATTCGCTCAGACTCGCACGAGATTTTGCATTTAAAGTGGAATAATGTGGGACTGACCTCACTAGCTGCTTTTTAGGGTCCAAAATGTTCAGCAGTTTGTCTGCATACACCTTTTTAGAAGCTGTGAAAAGAATGATCTAGAAGAGAAAAATGACCAGGGGGTTAGATTTTCTTTTCATCTTTGATTCAAACAAGATTAATGGAGAGGAATAGCCAGGTTCCACTTGCCTCATATATCTGAGACATGCGCTCCAAGAACTCTCTGAAGAATGGCCTCAAGCGCACATACACCTACGGAAACAAACCAGAGGTACATTTTTAAAAAGAGGCTCATCTCTGCAAGTTCACCCGCTTCCACTGAGGAAGGAAGCTATGACTTCACTGCCCCCTGGTGGCATCATGAGGAAAAACATCTGCAAAACAATAACAGGTGGATGGAATTTGGACAAAGCAGGGCTAACCTGGTAAATGACATCTTGAAAGAGGACAGGAAAGGTAAGTGCTGCGTCCTCCAGCTCATTTAAACTGCAGTGAACCAAAGTTTCATCCTGTGAAGCACATTGAAAACACTCAATATATTAACACATACACATGTGTTTCAGCCAAAAGACGAACACAAAGCATGAATGAAAATCTCAACCCACCAGATCGAGGACCAGAGAGAATTCAGGCGTGCTGCGTGTCTTCAGAGGCAAAGCCGGCTTACGGGTGAGCTGCTCTTCGGTCAGCGGAGGAACGTGCTTGATGAAGAAATACCTGCAAAAGCAGCATATCCACTCAATGAAATTGCAGCAGAAAGAGATTTGTTGAAACTTTTTTTTTAAACCCATAAACCTAAGCTTAGTGTTAACCCCGTTGAGAAGAGAAATTAAAAAAAAAAAAAACTCAGCTTCTGATTATAACTTTTGACTGTTTATAGGTAAGTGACATTGATGAAAGGACTACTCACGGGTCAAAGACCTCCCAGTCTTCCTCATAGGATGCCTCTGGTGGTACTGCGGGTGGAGGAACATCCACGTACGTCATTTCTGGATTTGAGCCGGGAGCTTCAAAAGCAACAAGAACATTTCAAGTTAAAGAAAGAAGAAAAAATAAAAACAAAAAAAAAAACAGCAAACGGAGGCAGAAAAGCTTTGTTCCCACAGATACTAGTCGATTCCTGGTTCTGTTCTCTGTGTGGTTACCTGTGAGAGGGGGGAGGTCGGCGTTGGGGTCCAGTTCCCCCTCCTCCGCCGTGGGGGACGCCTCCAGGATGTGCGGAGGCCGGAGAGGCGGCAGGTGAGACACGCTGGAGTAGAAATTAGTGGTGGCACACAGGTCCTGTGTGGACGTGGCTGTGCTGGTGGGCGTCTCCACCACTTGCTCCATCTGTTTGACTATCTCCTCGGCCTCCAGAGCCTGGTCAGGGGAGTCTGAGCCCGACGAGGCTAGAAAGAAATCAATTCCAAAAATAAGCCATTTAACGTGTGTCCACTCGTGATTTGATCACTGAAACAGTTCTTTGAGGCAGAGATAATTTTCATTTAAAAGAATTAGCAACGTTTCTGCTTTGTGTGTTCATAGAAAAATAGATGGCTACATATGGATGGGATAGTGCTCGCCAACACCTCTGCTTACCATTTTTAGCTGGTGAGAAGAAGTTAAAAACCGGGGAGAAGATGGTCCCGAGAAGCGTGGTTCTAGGAGGGCTGGTGGGCACCTCAACAGCAGTCGTCTCCTCCAGACTGCCGTTTGGCTTCTCCTTACTCCTGTCATGATTGGTTGCCTCTGCATAAAGTAAACGATTCAAGAGTATAAAAACTAAAGGGTAAAATTAAGAGGAAATACCAGGCTTCTTCGTCCCGGTTTTACTCACGTCCGTTAACCGAGCCTTTCTTGCCTACTCTGCTCACGGTCCTCCTGGGGGCGTTTGTGTTGGGAGGGGTAGAGGTGATGAGGTTGTTGTCCACGTCACAGTGGAGCCGGGTCTTCTTTGCTGGGCTTTCTGGCTGCAACTGAGAACGTTTTGAAAAATAAATAAACAAATAATTTTCCTGCCACACTTTGGGCCTCTTCGTACCAATTGAACATTGTTAAACTGCTGCATTCTACCCGAGTGTTGTTTCTGACCACGTCCACCCCTTTCTGACCACAGGGTACCCATCATATGATGGCTACAGCCACAAAGTGCCCCAAAGCTCATATCAAGGATGAGGACGTTTGCATCATGGTGAATGTGAAGCAGCTGTGTCACGCCATCATGTCAACATTGACCGCAATCACATGCCCAAAGTACCGCATGAAGAATTAAGGCAATTCTGAAGGCAGAGAGGAGGTCCATCCTTTTACTGGCTAGATGTACCTCGTAAAATGACTGATAAATGTTTCACGCCAATAACTTAAAATGGGACACATTTTACTTTAACTGAGGTTTTCTCTAAAAAGACTCCAGGTTGTTGGACAGAACTTTTAGTGTTCATGCGATCAAAGAAAATTGAGAAATTCCCTGTTGCATGCAAATGATTGATCCGATATAATTGGTGCACCCAATTGGTCCTTACGATTTCCAACTGATTTGGGCCAGAAAGCTATAATTTCTATTTCTTTTGCATCTTCATTTAAATCAATTCAAATAACATGCTGGTGATCCCAGTAAACCTGGGTGCGTACGTTTTCCCCAATGCCTCATAACAGAGCCTTTAGGTTTTCATGTTGTGTCTCTCCAACGGGATCAGCACAATAAAAGGGATGCTACTAGCTTTTCTCCATATAAAATGGGTAAGTGCTTTTCTTTCCGTTTACGTCACAAAAACGTCAGGGTGATTTCCAGTCTGATCCCGCGTTCCGGCTCAAAGCGATGGCAGGCTGGTGGTACACTAGCTCATTTTGAAGAGTTTCAAATATAACACAGATGCAATGTCAGTGTTATCCAAAAAAGGGAAAAAAATCCAAAAGGCAGAATTTTTTTTTTTTTCAAACTGGGTTAAGGCTCACACAGGAAAAAAAAAAGGCCACATTCCTGACATTTAGAACTTACACAGCAAAGCTTTACATGAATAATTATGCAAAACCTTTCAAAACCCCGGTCTTCTACAGGAAAGACTTTTAGCCGAGTTGACTTTTCCACTTGTTACAACCTCCTGTCCCGGCAAGCCAACTTTGTGAGCTAAATGCTAAAATTAGACCAGAGCCTGAGTTCTCGGACAAGCTGTAGCATTCCACCAGACATTTCTTAGGAAACATGACACCCTGCGCAGCCTTTAACTCAGAGACTTACAAATTATATTGTTAACACGGCTTAAGGCTTCTGTTTAACACTGTTAAAACGCACGCAAAAAGGAGTCAGAGAACTTTGATGCCAAAGCGACGCTTAAAATTCTCCCAGAGGAGGTGTGACAGATGATGGGCCTCAGGGATTGGGCGAATGCGCTGACAGGAGGTAGTTACCTTAACAGCATTTCCTCTGATGAACTTCTTGATGGTGGAAAACAATCCCCTCCCTCCGGTGGCAGGAGGGTCTTCTTCTACTTCGGAGTGCCTCCGCTTGGTTCGGGATGTGCGGCTGGCCAGCGCGGGGTTCGACTGCTGAGACGCCTTACGCATTCTCAGCCTCATTGTTTTAGCAGTCACATGTAAGGCTGTTCAGGGGAAATCAGACAGAGACGACAGACGGAATGAGAGAGAGAAATCACAGACTCACACGGCAGAGAACGGCCTCTGCTAAAAATGGAGAAGTCTGCGAGGTGCATCTATGTGCAGAGCACTAATGTTGGTTCGGCCAACATCTGGATGCGTTCAGGATCCCATTCCACTTACATCAGAGCATCACAACAGCCACAGCTGGCTTTACTTTCATTTGTACAGTTACAAGAGAGAACGAGAAGACAAAAAAAAACCTTCCCCAGGTTTGTGACACACGCATTCCACAAACACTTCCTCTGAATGACAACATGCTCAAAAAGAATCAAAGTTTCAGTCATTTCAACAAAATAAAAATTACAGAAAACTTAAAAAGCTCCCGAGATCAACCAAGATGACTAAAATAAATACATTCATCCCTTCAAGCTTAGACAATTGTGCACGATTACAAAACTGTCAAGCATGTTGGACCCTGGAGTGTGTGTGTGTGTGTGTAGAGAGAGAGTTTCCAACAATTTGGATATGTCTGGACACATTCCTGGTTACATAAGAGCAACAGCGCCCCATTATTACATACTGTACATCTCGCATATCATAAATGTCCTTTAACACATCTGTTCTCCATTACAAAGCAGTGCAGCCACAAACAGATCAAATGTATGTGCAGATGCCCAATCCCCCAGCACAGACCAAAGAAAAAAGAAAAGAAAATACAGGCAGCGCCAAAGTACATGCTTACATTTAAGTTACAGGCAAGCGGGAAAAGTGGGACAAGCATGAAAGCTGCAACTGCACAGAGTATCAAATGACTGGAGCAGATGCGGACATAGGAATTACATCAGTGTGTGGACTTGTTTGGGAAGAACACAATATGATTAATAGCAACTTAGCCCTTATGTCAAACATGTTCTCTGGCTTTTATTTTTACATTCTGCAAAAATCTGAAACGTTCAGAAGTACTTTGGAAAATAAAAAAAGGGGTTATAAAAGCTCAGAGGCAACAACTGCACTACAACAGGTGAATGGAGGACAGTGAGGGAAACTTATTTCTGGTTAAAAACCAGCAGAAAACGTGGTTCTTTGTCTTGTCCTCTTATGGTTTCCTTTCATAATAATTACACTGTAAAACTGTTATTAATTATTGATGCCATTGTGACAGATTATAAAAAAAACTAAAAAACAAAAAAACACTGATCTTCCTTTGAATTCGCTGATGGCCACCATTTGAGACTATTTTTTCCCAGCCAGCAGCATAGTTTCAGATTACAAACAACCACAAAACATTAAAAAACACAAAGATTTACTTTATTCTAACCACTATGTATGTATGTTGGCACTTTGGGATCTTGTTTGTACGTGTGCACTTGTGTTTGTTGTTAAAATTCGATGCCATCTGAGGGCAAAAGGGTCATCCTTCTGCATATAACTTCTAAGGAATGTCTCTGACTTTATGTGCAACTTTACAAACATATGTATAATTCATAAAATGCTGAAAATCTTTTCTGCGTAGTCTTTTCTTACAGCCGTTTTCCTCTATAACTAAGACCCACACTGAAAATCACTGTCTATACCAAATCATCAAAATGTGCAAGTTTTTGGCAATATATATATATATAGTTTCATAAGTCAATATGAAAGCCATGCTGGAAAAAAAACGTGATTGTGAACTTAAACACTTTACCTTACAATACTGAGGCTTTATTGTGAAATATACCAATATTGTCAAACCAGATCTGATATCTTTTGGTCTGCACATCCATTCATTTTACATTACGATTTGCATGTTAAGAAACAATTTTAAAAAACTGTTAATTTTTTTAAAATGACAGCTATATTAAGTTACATTGTACACACCTAACAATTAGAATGAGTAACGACCCGTAGGTGGCATGACAGAAACAGCAAAGCTGACTGACATATACCTTTCCAGCAGTCAGCCACTGACCAAGGATCAGGCACATTGCTAGGTCGAAGCAAGTGAGCGGGAAATAGGAACATGCATGGAAGTGGATGCGCAAGCTAGCTGAAGCTAACCGTGAAAAGTCAGCGGAGAAAACGAGCGCTGCCCTTCTGACACACCACCTTTCCTGCAGAAAGTAACCTGAGGTTAAGGTTTGCCAAGCTGCTTTTTAACAGTTCAAAATCAACAACACCTCAAACAATAAAAGACGCTAAATAGCGGGTCTTGCTGGTTAATCCGTGCATAAAAAGGAACGTTTGAAAAGGTTGTGCAGAGCTCTGCAGCTCATGCAACACAACTTAATGAAGCTTGAGAGGCCGTGTGCAGACAACCTTTATTCCCACACCAGTTTTTCATTCCACTAGAAGAGTTTACGAGTAATGTTTCCCTCCAGCTACTGCCCGGCGCTCAGTTTGAGTCTGTAGAGACTGAGGGTAACGTTAGCATTTCACCAAGCCGAGCCTCCACAGGCTAACTTACCATTAGCAAGCCAGTGCGGCATCGTAACCTGAGCAAAATAACGTTAAATGGTTAAAATGGCTATGTCAGTGGTAGTGGTTTGCTAACAGTGGTGAAGCTAGGTGGGCTGTTCAACTCTTATTACCCCCCTACATGACGAAAAACGTTAGTGTTTGACATAGTTGATTCGAGTACGCGGATAAAGCTACGTTATCAAATGTAACTGCCGTGTTAGAAAGCAGCTGCAAGGGATATCATTCAAGAATATGTGTGGTCATATCAGAACAGGTCTAGCTTGTTGAGCTAAAAAATTATCATCAATGGAGAAGACAATGCCAACCAAGTAAAACTCAGCGGTGGAATGCCAAATTTTGGGATGTTAGCCTCAAGCACCCATAAGCTACCGAGAGCCCATGGTAAATGTGAAATATTGTTATGAAATACACCAAACAGAGCTACGCTGCATTAACGCCTACAAACATTTACCGCTTGGCTTAGTATGAGCATAATGGAAAGGATAAACTAGAGACAAAACGTGAGGCCAAGCAGGAATTCCTCCTGGTCTGCGGTAGGCCGTGCCTTAGCCGTCCTTGGCTTAGCACCGCTAGCTTAGCCCCACAGTGCCGTCCCTTTTTGCCGAACTGCTTCGAGCTAACGGGGGCTCGGCAGGCAGGGGAGCGTTGCTCCTCTCGGTAGCCAACATTACATAAACGCAAAAACTGAAGAAAACAAATGTGCGAAACGGGGCTGGTTCACCACAGTTACTTACGTGGATGTGATCCGCTGCTTGTGAAAGACGACGACCCGGGGCAGTCAAACCATCACGGCGGAGGCGCTGGTTGTTTTTTGAGCGCGCCTCGGACTTTTTCTGCACGTCTACTCGCTCAGGGGCCGTCTTCGCTATGACACACCGTTGTGTTACCAGGCGCCATTTCCCGCCTCTGCTCGGTCTCTCCGAAGCAGATACCCGTATGGGACACAGACACACCCCCTTCCAGCTCACAAACACCAGCCGCTCCGTGCTGCAACACCAGTCCGTGCGCCAAAAGCCCCTCTTCTTTTGTCGTTTTTTAATCATGCGAGAGCTGAGCTTTAATGATGTTGAGGCTACATAATGTATCATCAAAAAACTGGACAGCTTGTCATTGTGTGCGTTTTTTAAATGTTGATAGTCACAGATTTATACAGCTGAAATAATGAAAAATAACAACAGTTAACCGTAAAGCAATTTGACCACAAATTGCCCATACAAAAAATATAGTTTTTTTTTTAAAGTCCAGTCCACACTAGTTGGAAGAGTACAAGATAGGGGATATATTGACTTGATATGGGAATATAGCTTTTTTCTTTTATAAAGAAATAAAACAGTCAAAATCCTCATCAAGAGTTTCTTTACATTAGACGCAGTATCCTTCCTGTAACCCCCTTGCCACTGGTGACCCTTAGGTCAATACAGTTTATAAAAACACCGCAACGAATGACATGAACCATCACCTTTAATAAAATTAAATTACATTCAATGTGCCTTTCCATGAGAATTAATTTTTCCTGGTTGCACAACAGAATAGATTTCAGGTTCACAGACATCCCACCCCACCAACCCTGGAGATGGGGGAATAAATTTCCCCAGTATAAATGGTAACCGTTCAACTACATCATGTACGCGACCCCATTGATGGAAGCATATGTAGGGTCTGTCATTTCCATGTGTGCTTATTAAATCTTTGCACACTGTGGATACTAACCATGTAAGTATTGCTTAAGCAATAGTATTTTGCTCAGTTGATTACTAAAAAGTTTTAAATGCATGCAATGGCATTTAAAAACTAAATGAGAAGCACTTTTGAGTGTCTCACAAAAGAAAAGAAAGTAGGCCATAAGCAAAGTCCTTGGCATTGAATTGTGTCATATTCCCATTCCTGTAAAATAAGAAGGTCCCAACAATATGTTAGAAAGGTAGATTAACAATTTAGTCTCTGATAAGTATCTCAAGAAGCTTTGATGTCTAGCAGAAGCAAAGAGTACCTAAAAGAAAACCAAGTCATCTTCTGTAGCAATAACAAAAGTTGTCATGACCTTACAGTCCAATTGTGACTTAAGAGGATCTTTCAGATCATTTCGGAGTGAACTGCAGCAGTTATCTGGAAATTAAACTCAACAGTCAATGTATAGAATTTTGTCTCACTGTCAAAACGTATTAACCATTACCAAATCTACTGTTTCTCAGGTAAACGCCATGATATTGTCTTGCTATTATGTATTATTCTGAGTTAATCTATTAGTTGCTATGCCTGCTTCTGAAAATAGTCCATGACAAAGAGGATACTCCCCAGAAATTCCATTGCCTTGCATCAACCTTCAACCCATTTCATCAGCCTATTTCATTCTGGGAGTCCTTTGTTGTGGTGGAGGGTCCAAATGTTTTAATAAGTTACTTCTGCGTAGGTTTCCATTCAGAGAATGTCATTAGTTTGATGTCTTTTTCCGTAATCCACAGCCCGATCTCCCTGCATCTCCCGATCATCATCATCTGGGGAAAAATAAACAGGAGGTAATGGCAACATTAGAGGTTATCTTATCAGGAATATATATACAAGGAAATGTTAGAACCCTACCCCGTCAACCTATGGCAAACCTTTGTTCTCTAAACTTGTCAAATTCTGCAGTTCAGCTGAAACAAATATCCATTTGTAAGAGGTGACATTTCTAACAATTATGTAGCACATTAGTTTTTTTTGTTTATTGATGTATGCAGAAGATTTCCTTTCTTTATTAAAATAACTATACTGGTTAAACAGGAAAAATCCTATCACAGTTCATGATGCAATACAAAAACACAGCAACCATGATCTGGTCACTGGGATGTTTAGCTGATTGATCAAATCATTTCTTAGGTCAATGATAACAAAATAAACTTCTTCTAAACACATTGAATGATAAAATATTACAAACAAATTACCAGTAGATCAAAAACCAATAGAAGCAAGCAATAACCAACAAATAAATAACCAAGCAAAATTAAAAAAAAAACAAAAAAAAACACAGACATGCCTTTAAATCTTTCAAGGAGAACACAGATATATTCAAGACCACAGTGAGCTATTTATAACGACTGGTCAAGATGTGGGTCAGATGTTTGGTGGGCACAGACAGGTGGTTTAGCTAAAAAGAAGCACAGGCAGAGCAGAAAACGCTAAACTAGATGGTAACTGAATGACTCTCACAGAACCGCAAGCTCCAGGGTCAACATTTCAAAGGTTAGAAAAAGGTACCCAGAATGTGACTGTGCCTTTAGTTAAGGAGTTCAACCGCAACTACATTCATGGCACGTGCTCTGAAACTGGAGACACTTTTGTCAGAAATGCCACAAATCTGCATTACGGATCGTTCCTGGACCAAACTCAGGGTGCTGTGAGCTAGTTTGGACAAATGCAGGGGGGCAGCAGCAGGACAGGGGTGGAGGGAGGGAGGGAGGGATGGTGGATACACATCTGGATACAATCCCCCAACCTGGCTCACCTTGAACGTCTTCCTCCCCACCATCACCATCCTCTTCCTCATTGTAGGCCAGCTCGGCCTGCTTGTCGGCCTCATACTCACCCACGTTCCCATCATCCCCATTGTAGTCCGCTAGCTTAGAGCCGTGTTGCGGATCTACTGGGGACTCGTTCTCATCAAAGAACCGGCCTGCAGGAGGCAGAGAAGGGCCTCATCAGGAAGGGAGGGAAGCAGAGACAGTTGTAGGGAGACAGGGAGGTGAAAAACTGCATAACCAATGCACGGAAGAACGAGTGACCGCACAGAGAGGCTTGAAGAACAGAAACAGGATGAGCCGAATACACAGAGTCAGATTGGATAGAGGCGATAGGAAAGGACAAGGTCCCTCTAAAAGGACAGACCAGTCTTCAAAGCACAAAGCGCCAACTTTGTCATGTATTTAATCAAATTCAACAGCCCTGTAGTAAATTAAATTTAGTAGGTGTAAATGCGCCATAAGAGAAAAAAAAATCAAGAGACTATGACAAAAAAATTTAATTGGGAAATTAATTGGTGAAGTTTTTAGGCTTTGAAAAGCCTTTGGCTGACAGGTGATGCTTTACATTAGGGTGTTCATCAATATTTTAAGGTGAGTACATGCTGTCACTCTCAAATAAGTCTTAATCGATGTACTCACTATACAGCTAAATGTGCCTTATGTGTGAGAATGGACAGCACATTAGGAAGCATACAACACTAAAGTCCTGAAAGAGTGTTGCCATAAGACAAACAAGGTCATGTAGCTTTGGAGGGTTAAAGATGTTAAAAGGCTGGTTTTTAAGCTCACTGATAAAGTGGAGTTAAGGACTGAGATTTTAATTGAATGGGACTTTTAAGTTAGTATTAAGTATGTTCAACATTTTCTTTAACTTTTCTTTAAGTTCAGTCCCCCCACAACTACATTTTGTTCTCTTGGCTGTTTTTTAGATTTAACCCCTGCAGTCTGAACAAAAACACAGTTGAAAAAAAGGATTTTCAGTTTTTCCTTTGAATCAAACTTGGAAAAAAAAAAAAATCTAAACATTTTTTTGCAATTTTTGTCCAATTATGCAATGTATAGGATTCATCCTTCAAGCATATTCAAAAGGGGCCCTGTCCTGTCCTTGTCTATCCGTTCAAATGATGGCAGCAAAAACTTGGGACGTGCTGAAAACATGCAAAAGTGATGCAGACTTGACTTGGTAAAATTCACACTATTTTGGAGAAAAAGATCCGAGGTGGTCATCAGTTACATCCCAGACATGTCCAGCTGCCATCAGATTAATGGAAAAGGGTGCATGTTTGGAAGAAGCTCGAGGGAGATAAAGGCGCCGGACGTTTAAAAACAGGGAGGAAGAGGGGAGAAAAAGCAGCAGAAGCAGAGCGGGAACAGGGCACCAGGAAAGGGGAATATGAGCGCCAGGTGTGTGTCATTTGTCTCCTCTTGAACTGAGGCCTCTGGCTCTACTCCTTGACAGTGCTCCTATTCTTTTTTTCCCCCAATGACTTGCAATTCTCTGTATGCAACGGGCAAAATTCACACAAATGGCACCACAAAAAACAAACAAAAAAAAACATCTTATCGTCTGTTTTACAAAACGCTGTAAGGAAAGGGTGAGCACAAGGACAGCTTTGAGAATTATACCATTATTAGTGTTCACTACATGACCGTTATTTTTTCCAACCCTTAAAAAAACACCAAAAAAACAGAAAAGACACCTTTAACCACCACATCCACTGTCAGCGTTCCTGTTTCCACCGTATTCTCAGAAAAACTCACTTTGGCGGTGGTGCACTGCCTCTGCCGGAGCTTGGTCTTTGGGGGGGTGAGGCTGGAGGGGGTTGGGCACCTGGGCGACATTAGCAGGCAGGTGAATCCTCTTCAAGTGTTCAGAGTCCCGCTTGACATTATCAGGAGCTAACAGAAAAAAAGCATAGTATGAAACCTTCCCAATATAAGAGACACAATCGCCTTTAGAGTCGTTTTCATAGAGCCCGGCGTGATTGGCCGTCTACGTTTGAAGTGTTTCAGGCATCAGCCGAGGTTTTTAAAGATGCACGACTCGAATTGGGAAAGTAATTATTAAAGAAAAAGAAAAACAGCCAGCAGGTGAGGCACCATGAGAACAGTTCTCTGATCTGGCCTATACTTAAGATTCAGAGAGACACATGTTTGTGAGGTGAACATTAAATATTAATCCAATCCTTAACTGACTCATTCTCACACCTCTAACTGAGGTGTGAGAATCATAATGAACACCAGAATATGGACAGGGAGCATAATGTACCTTGAATTTGCCTTTGCCGTTCTCCCAGTTCATCTGCCTTAATAACCAATTTGTTGTCCTCTTCAAATACTATTGGTTTGTCTGCCTGTTTGATGATGCCCGGGGGTGCAAGGGCTGCTGCCCGGACATCCACTCTGTCCAGCTGGAGTCTTGGTTGGTCCAAGGACAAGCCTTGGCCTCCAGGACCGTCGGCTGCTCCAAGTCCATGATCAGCAGCAGCCAGCGCGGCCGCGTCAGGAGCGTCTCTCTGTTTCTGAGTGATGGCCGGTTTCTTCAAGGCTGTGGGTAAACGGCAAATTCAGAAAGCCCAGAAAATAAAGAATTCTTAAGATGTTAAAATATTTTTTTCAAAATGTTGACCTTATTAAAAAGAAAAAAATCCCATCTGACGCTACTGACAAAAATAATCATACGTTCCCTTCAGACTAAACTATCGAAGGTTTACAGGTGAGACTTACCAAACTGCATTTCATCGACTTTTCCCACCTCGCTGTCTTCAATACCCGGCATGCCAGCATCGCTGCCAGGTTTACCGAGCTCCTCTGCAACAGAGCCAAACACAGAGAGTTTGGTAATTAGACTTTTGATTCAAATCATAAAGAATAAAAAATCAATATGAGGGCAATAGGATGGTACATGCTTGGAATGGGACAACAGTCCCCTGTACCTTTTAGATCGGACTGTCTGTCGTGCCGGTGAGTGGCCACTGTGTGGCGCTCTCCAGCCATGTCACCTTCAGGGACTCTTCCTGCTTGTCTAGCTGCCATTACATCCTTTTGGCCACCCATTACACTCTAAATAATTACAAAAGAGAGAATAAAAGAATGGAACACGTGAAAAACGGAGGACCTAATTCCAGTTCGTACCAGGGAGCTGAAGAGTAAAGACTACACTACCTGTCTTAGCTTGGATGCTTCTTCCATCAGGGTCTTTTTAGTTTCTTCATACTCCTCTTTCAGTTGTGCAATCTGACGTCCACACTGTAAACTAAAAGACACATGCTCATTTTAGGTTCCTCTCATGCAATGCAGCACCGATGAAGCTGATTTATGCAAACAAGGAGGCAAAAACGTTTGCCGAATGGAGCCCTATGTAAAACATTAAACTCTCATTCAAAATATTGAGAATTATATCCGTGTAAAGAACAGGAAAAAAAAGTTTCCCTATCGTTAGCCCCTCTCTCTGGAGGCCCGCTGCCCACTGTATGTTTATCTATTACATTCCACCTGCTTGCATCTGAGGTGTTAGAACGGCCATGTTTCCGTCACATTCACAGACTTGTGAGCTGTGTCCTAAACAGGCGGACGAGTCAAGCAAGTTGTCACGTCAAGTAAAATTAGCCTACGGGCCCAAACTGTGACATATGGTAATTTAATGGTGGGAGGCTCTTGTTCTTTGTGCGGCTGGGAAGCAGAACACACGAGAACATCTTTCACTGAGCTGTGACGTGCTGAGAGTCAATGGACCTTTTACTATGTGTTTAAAGAAAAACAAAGTGGCTATGTTGGTCTAGAAAGCCAGCGGTGCAATATGACAAACGTTCCTCAACTATTTTGGACAGCAAAAACATATAGAGTGAATATAAGTAGAGGCTGCCAAATAAAGCAAGGAGACACACCCAGGTATTATCTTTGGAGAAGCCGTGGTGTAACAGCTGTCCAAAGAAGACAGATGCTTAAGGAGTCACTAAAAACAGACTTGAAATACCTCTCGTATTCTAGCTTTTTCTCCAACGTAGTGCTGTTTTTCTTCACTTCTCTTAGCTGCTCCTCTTGCTTCATGAACTCCTGCTTCAGATCTTTTAGCTGCTCTGTTTGCAACAACAAAATCATGGACACACACACACAATATTTCAGAGGTTTCTTTCTAATTTTTTAAATCTTCTGCAATGCTCTGTATTGGATATATTGGAAGAGTGGGGTCTGTTTGAGAGTGCCCTCTGCTGGTCAGTGTTACCTTTCAGTCTCTGTATCTCTGTCATCTGTGCCGTGACATCACCCTGTAACTTCACCTGTGATGACGGGGGGAAAAAAAGATCCAGGGGTCACAGTAAAGAAGAAGTGTCTTCTCTGGATAAAGGTCACAGTCCATTTCAATGTACAACAGGTTTGACAGCATTTGCAGACAATGGTGTTTTATTAGATCTACTTCCAGTTAGACTGAGTGGGACAGGTTTTTCTGGATTTTCCTCTTCCTGAACACCTATATGACAAAATGTTCATAACTCGGGCAAATATGCATTCGTTCATCGTCTGGTTTGTGATCTTGGTTTACTTTTATACATAAAGCAAAAACGCAAAGGAAAATTTTTCTCAAAGCTCTTTGAAGACTCAAGCTGAGCAATAACGCTTTGGGTTAGATGTGGACAACAGAGAACAGAGGAAGTATTTCTTTGATGTGCAGAAAACAGCTGAACAGATGCTGATAATACAGCCAGCACCAGGTTTATGATTACTTTCTTCTTTTCCCTCCCCTACAGCAGGCTTTTCTTTTATTACATTTTATCACCATCAGTGGCCAGGAAAACAGAGCCCCAGTACACCAAGAAAATCTAATAAAACACCTCTGCAATAAACAGCAAACTTAGAAGGCTCCCGCATCCATGGAAATGCTGGCTGCCCTCGGTTTTATGATTTAATCATTTCCTAAAATTGTATGCACAAACCCCTGACGAATGCTATGAGGCTACAGGGAAAGTCCACCTGACTGCAAGATGAGTTAAGCTATTGTAAAAACAGAAGGACTTCAGGCTCTCATTTTAAGCACGTTTCACAGTTTAAACACGATTTGGCTGTTGACAAAGGAAAAGAGAGGAAAAAACGCTTCAAACCGCTTACTAAAATGAATTGGGAAGTGTTTTTTTTTTTAAATGTCTAAAAACCTAACTGGACTGAAACGTATTTGTCCCAGCCTCCCTGATTTGATGTTACTTTTAGTTGAACAGGAACTCATTGTTACACAGCAGGACGTACTTTTAATTTTCTTGTTTGCATAGCATGCTGATCCACCGTGCATGCCTCTGCGTGATCGCCCTTCACAAACAGCGTTATCTCTCTGGTCATCTAGTTAGAAGCCCTCACACCTTCAAGAGGTCATAAGGAAGTGTTACACGCTGTGCTCAGGGGCAGACTAGCATGCACTGCCCGGCATTGCTCCTCATTAACTTGTGAGTGAGTACATTCCCATCATCATCGTGTGTAGAGGTATGGACACAGCTGTGTGTGTCTCACAACACCTTCCCTAAATTCAGAGGGAGGTGGGTAAAATCTGTAAAGTCTAGGCCAGTGAAAACATAACCCTCCAACAAATGTGCCACCATAATAGATCAATGTGTGAGTTACTCGACAAAGCCTAGTTCAGTTCTGTTTATTTTGCCTTTGTCTGCAGGTAATCTAAGGTACAGGTGGATAGTTTGATATAATGTCAAAAATGTGGATGTAAAGAACAAAACTAATGTAAAAAAAAAAGGGATAGGGCCATTTTTATCTGCATTACTCCATCCTGTATGGAATGAATATGGGCCACTTAAAACTCCTTTTACATATCTTTTATCCTAAATCCCTGAAGTGAGGTCATTTTCTCAGATGAAAAGTGGAGAAAACCTCAGGCGAAAGGCATGTACCTGATTGAAATTGTGAGGATGAGTGCGTTTCCGGTCAAGAGCGTGTAACATGTAATTACCTGCCACTTCACATTACACTACTCGAGCGACATAATGAAGATAGCACAATGCTGTAATTTGGGCTTGTGCTGTAATGGAGACCTTCCTATATAAGCCTAATATGAGCAAAAAAAAAAAGGAGCCTCGGGAGAGGTTGATGCTGGTGTGCCGGAATGCTTAATGCAGACCACTCAGCTGGAAAGGACGGGAAGCAACAGGGCAGGCCAAAAAGTCTAAACCACCAATTGTTTTAAAGGTTGTTCCTTCAACCCATCAAGGTTTGATACAGGTTCTCTGCCATTTATTTAGGATACAGCAATGTAAGGGAGCATGCAAAGAAAACTTAAGATCAAATTAGTGTTCTTGTTTTATCTCATTTTTGGGGGTCTGAGGAGCCAAACAAACAGGTGAGAACAGAAAAGAACATCACGTTGTAAATATAAGTTTACTCTCTGGTTTCAACTCCCCATGTGAGCTGACCACCGGGTTGGCAGAGGGCAAGTTTACCTTTTCGTCCGTGCACTTTTTAACGAGCGCCTCGCGGGCCTGGAGCTTGCCCTCCAGGATGCTGTAGTCTCCATCCTTCTGGTCGATCTGCTTCCTGTGCGCGTCCACCTGCACCATCAGCTCCGAGTTGCGCTTCTCCAGGCGGCTCCGCGCCGCGTCCGTGCGCTTCACCTGGCTCTGCACCTCCGCCAGCTCGTCCAGCAGGCGGCCGTGCCTGCCGGACACCGTCCAGTAGTTGAAAGACAGAATGGCGATGACCACCGTCAAAAAGATCAGGATGAAGGACGGGATGCGGCCTCCGCGGCGGTTTGCGCCAAAGCCGATCATCTCAAACGCCGAAGTCAAACGTTACTCGAGGTTGTTTGTCGCAACCTACTGATTTCTGCGATCCTCCCGACGTGAAACACACATCCGTATACGTGACATGCCGCGGTTGTTCGGCAAACCGTGTGGAAACGCAAACGCTACACGCGCGCAGTCATTCGAGTGAGAAAGCCGTTTTTTTTTCACATTTCCTTGGATGTTTGCTCTCCTTCTTTCCTCTTCAGCTCACTCGGCATCTTTTTCTGCAATCCCGTCCAACGCTGCTCGGTGAAGTCCGCCCGTGGGGACGTGGCCTTGCTCAGCTGGCAGCGTTAAACACACAACACAAAAACCAGACGTGGAAGGCTATGCGGCGCCGTGGCGCTGGGGTCCGCGAACACACCGCACATCAAACTACCGCCTTCGGCTGCTAGTTTCCTATGTCACTTTCCTCCGACGAACGCCCGCAAGGTGGTTAGCAACTGACGCTTTAGGGTTCTTCTTCTTTATCAATGAACTGCCATAACAAAAAAAAGGAACCATAGACGATCTTTGATTCTGACCTGACGTTGGCGTTAGCTCCCGTAGACGTCGGGCTAATCACCACACGCTAGCTAGCGACTACAAACATGACAACACTCCGTCCAATGAAAGTGTTCTTTCTTCTTTTTCAGGATGCGTATGCTGTTTTTATAATACAATATGTATTACAGTCAATTAAATCACAGCCTTTCACGACTCTCTGCCTCCCTGAACATCCACTACGCGCTGTAACAAGTTAGCTGCAGACACATCACATTACCGCTTTGAGCCTCTGAGCATGCGCAAATTTAGAAATAATAAAATCGCTATCGATATTTTAGCAAAAAAAAAAACAAATGTTAATGTGCAGCCCTGTTATGATAAAATATTGATGCTGCAGACTTTATGTTTGTGTACGACCATAATCGGTCGCTTAGTGTAAACAATAAACTTACTCCAAGAAAAATAATACTGCCCATGACCGGAAGTGGATATCTAACTGAAACACAACTTTACAATTTAAGATTTTCATTAGCTTATTGTTATTTTCCTTTTTTTAAAGGAAAATATATGGTTTACCCTATGCCTTACAGTCAAGCAATTTCTCTTGTGTAATTTCTTGTTAAAATATCTTTCAAAAGCAAAAAGCAGCTTCACTGACAAGCAACTTTTTATCCCTTTATATATTATTTATGCACCTCTGAAAAAAATTCAGAGGCATTCATTCATTTCAATATTCAGATGCTGATGGTAGTGTTGCAGCTTTATACGAATAAAAAAAAAATACATAGTACCAATATAGTACCACATTGGTTCATTAGTTGCATATTTGTAGCAAAACAAAGGTAGAATTGGACAGAAGAAGAAATCACTGGGTGATAATTAAAAACTACAGCATCACCTTTTTGACTCTAATATTTAGCTTCACCAAAGTGATATGAATGGTAAAAAAGTAGCTTCGTCGACAGTTTAAAAATAAAAATGCCTGCTGACAAACATAAACAGTCAAATAATCTTTTATAAAAAGAAGGAAAACAACAAATAAATATAAGCACATACCACAATATACAAATGCATATTTTATTGTAACACTGATAAGAATTGTAACACAATGAGGTAAGATAAATAATCCACATCTGTGATGTTCTTGAGCCACAAAATATTCATCACCCTATCAGCGACAACTCCACAAACTCTGCAAACAATGGCTGGTAAACCCCTCTCAGTTCACAGTTTAATACAAACATTTTTGTCCCCGTTTCTCATGAGGACCAGAGGACCACTGAACACACATGCCCTTTTGTGTTTTAGTCACAGACTCGTCAGCTGTGCATGTTTCTTTTTTAAGAGACGGTACTCTAGAAAAGATCCCCTGAGGGAGAAACATTCTTGGTTTTTTTCATTTTTTCATATTATATATTTTTTTCAATGATTCTTTCTGTTTTCTGAAAAGAAGTAAGCCACTACAGACACTGGCAGACTCTGTCTTGCTACCATTTCTGCTGATGACTTGGCACAGTCTCACAGGGCACCAGGAACAGTGTGACAATGCGTCAGCTTTTCGGTTGGTTTGTACTGCGGGCACACTGAGCAAAGAATCTTTTTTATGATGTCTAGAGAGCTCTCAATTACTTTGCTGAAACCTTCGGCACATGGAAAAACCAGCGCGGTTGTGTGCGCCTTAAGAGTTTTGACTCGAGCCCTTGTTGGGAGAGGGGGGTCAGAGGATAGTTTCTCTGCACTCAAGGCTTTGTTCAGAGGAAGGGGAGCCCTGCGGGTCAACAGAGGAGTTGGTTGTTTGTGGGAGATGTTTTGGACGGCGCAAGGACGGGGACGGTGATGAACTCAAAGCACCGCAGCTCTGGAGGTGAAGATCCTCGTGGTCGCGCTTTCTGGGACTTCCCATGATGCGTTGGGTCATCACCTGGCAGCACAAAACAGAGATTGAGTAATTGCCTCTTTGAACATCCTTTGCCCTTCATTTATGTCAGTTAAAGTGCTCCGACCGTATTAATAACCTCCATAAATACGATGCTGGAAATCTTATTGTGTTCATTTGCAGATCCCCAAAACTATTGGAAGGTATTCATTTATCTAAGTTGCACTAACCCATCAACAGCTACCTTTCTCTGTCAAATTCTTTTACCTGATCTATGACATTGGCACTGAAGATGGCCTCTTCCATGTGTTTCTCGTCTGATTTGATGACGCACTTGATGTTGTTGACAACCTGCTGGACTTCTGGAGGTAGACTGCAGCTCGAGTGCTCCAGGAACTTCGCCACCAGTACTTTGGTGTCTTTGTACATCTTAAGGTCAGCCAGGGAGTGTGGCCGCTCGTGGGAGGGGTGTGTGTGGAGAGGCCGGGGTTTAAGATAGATGTCAACTTTCCTGCCTTCCTTCTGCTGCCTCGTAGCACGTATGTGACTCGGTTTGGCTCCAACCACCTCCGTTGAGGTGTCTTTAGGCTCTGAAGAAAGCCCAGAAAAAAAAACGTCACAGGAGTAAACCAGAAACATTTTTTTTTTACTGTCTTCACTCATGTCAGTGGGGTTTTTCTCTTAAAAACTGACTGAAAAAAGTGATAGAACACATGATGGGAGAATTTTCAATTGCAGAGCAAAATACTGTGCTTGTTTTTAAAGAATAGAAGTTTAAATCCTGTGCTGATGTGGGAGGATGTCCCATTTGTTATAAGCTATAAGGGTATCTTAAACTCTAAATGTTAGATATTTTGTCAGATTTGATCACTTCTTGTTTGTTGTGCATGTTATTTATATTGACCTCACATACTACTTATCTTGGCAAGCATGATTTGAAAAAAAAGGGATTTAAAGTCTGGTGAGTGTCTGTTCTTTATATTTTAAATATAAAAAGATGATAGGGTTTTAGAGAGCAGACATTAATCTCTGGGCTTCTCAGCCTATGAGACATGCAGTGTTTACATTGTGTGTAAATACTGCATGCCTCTAACTGCCCATGGATCTCCACAAAAACAAACTTTTCATGTATATATAAAATAGAAATGATGCAGCTCTGAATAACACCAAGAATATTAACTAGACGAATAAAGCCATAAAACAGCTTTTATAAATAAAGCTCAGCTAAAGAGCAGGGCTCCTACCCTGTTCTGGAGTTGTGCGGGTTGAATCTTCAGCAGCGGACTCATTTCTGGAGCTGCAGCTGCAGCTCTCTCCTGTAGGGCGAGACAAAGGGCTAAATATGAAGCAAACAAACCAGCAGCTGCTCAGTAATCTGATCAGACATCATCACAATGCAGTTAGACAATCATATCTTTAGTTTCATCATCCCCCAGGGATGCCGGTAATAACCGACACACCATCGTGCAGCCCCATAGTCTTATAGGTTTATAGCAATACAAAACAGGAAAAAAATATTACAAATATGGAGCCAAAATGCATTTAATCACTGGTGAATTCCATATTCCGTCAGCTGTAGTGTGAATCCTACGTAGCATATTAGTTGCACGTACTTCTTATTGTAGTGGAGCAGGAGATGGGGTCACTGGTGGAGCGGACAATGCGTGCCAGTTTGCGGTACCTCCTGGCTGTTTTCAGCCCTCTGGGCCTCTCTGAGGGCGAATGGCCGCTCTGCGCTGAGGTAGAAGGGGGTTGCGATGCGGAGGAGGGAGCCCAAACGCTGAAGCACAGTCTGGGACCTCTCGGCCTGGCAGGAGGGGAAGGGGAAGGGGTGGGGGCCAAAGGGCTGATGGCTGAGGTTCCACCAGAGGAAGCCACAGAGGTGGGGGAGCAGGGCTGGGGGGGCGGGGGGATGCTGACGGGTAGAGTGAGCTTTCGGCTCATCATTCGGGCTTTGATTAGGGAGTGAGTTGATGCTTTGGGCGGCTCCTCCGGTAAGTGTTTGGCCGAGGCCAGTTCGTCGCACATGTGCATCGCAGACCTGAGTTCCTCACACGGATGCGTGTTCTCAGCAGCATCCTCCGGGTCCAGGTTGCTAAAGTTTTCCGAGGACCAGTCCGGCGAGCGTTCCAGTGAGTCCTGGGTCTGGGAGGACTCGCTGTATCCGGTGTCGCTGGGGCGAGCATCGGCGTTGGGCAGGCCGCGGTGGCAGCGTGAAGAGGCCCGCATGCAGAGTTCCAGGCTGGTGCAGCTTCCGTCGGTGGGGGCGGTGCGCAGCGTGCCGTAAGGGGAGGAGTCGGAGCCCTGGACCTCCAGGGAGCACAGGTCCTCCGAGGAACAGGTCTGATCCTGATCGGCCACCTCTGAAACCATCAGCGACGCGCTGTCCACTGAGGCTTAAAACACACAAAAAAAAAGGTTTTATTAACGTAAAAGAAGAGGGTTATTCAACTACACCCCTTTCAATTGTTCTCACCCTGCGTGCTGAGTCCTGCGGTAGTGTTTATGTCACACAGACTGGACTCAGTGGCCTGTTGCTCCATGCTTGTGGTGACCTGTAAAAGGAGAATATCACTGAAGATGAAAAACGTAAACATGAAAAGCAATTTGTAACCTTTTATTATATTTTATGCTACCTGTACTACAAAAAGCTGTGTGGGCCCTAATAGTCAATGTCACACGCCTGTCTGTAGAGGGCTCTACAGGACTACAACACACTAATAGTAATTTATTTAATCTTCAAACAGGTTTACTGATGATGACAACTACAGTGTAGATGAATTAGAAGTGTTGGTTCCAGGCACTGTTGCCTTTATTAGGCATTTGTTAATGCAGCTTTGTTTGTGAAATACCACAGATCCTTATCCTGAAATCAACAACTGAGTTTCCTCTGCCCCCTCTTTTCTCTCCCACTCAACTAATCAATCAATGCCTGCCTCCATTAGCTCTTCACAGAGTCCTGGCTGATCTATTTTGGGTGATCAAAGCTGTGGATTTTTACCGTCTAAAATAGATGGCACAAGTATGGAATTAGCAGATATAATGGAATGGTGGCTTAAAAGCCAGAAGTATTTAATGATTTTGAGACCCACAGAGATGATAAAAGGATTTAGTTGCACATTAGATACTTGCTTTAAGCTGTAAACAGTGAGGTGCCACAAAGCCTCAGCCTCATCATCTCAAAATATTGTGATGTCAGTTTGTGTGAAAAAGTATATCACTTTCTTTAAGAAAAATAATTCCCTGACTGCTGTTTGTAAATGGATATCAGAGTGTCTTACAATCTTATCTAATGATATATCATATCACATCCGTTTGTATTTGAAACAAAAAATTACATGATTGAAAATCAGAAAATATGTCCCATGCTTGGCTGTTTGGGCAGACAGCATACACTGGTCTAGTTTTAGATTTAAAGATTTAAATGTTTTCCTTCACCTGGCTGGCAGGGGTTTGACCCACCACAGACTCATATGGGGGGGGCAAGTCAGTTGGATAAAGGGTCCCTGGACTGTTAATAGGCACCCCATAAATCGCACTGAAGGGAGAATGGGGAAAGTCCAGGTGCAGGCCTCTGTAAGGGACATAAAAACAGATATTGAATAAGAAATAGACATAATGAATCAGTTCTAAAAATTGACATTTTTTAAATTCATTCCAACCAGTGTGAATAACTGTTATAGAGACATTATTGTCTTTTTGAGCATTAAGAGCGGAAGAGTGAAAGAACCCTCTTACCTCCAACGCTCTAATCCAGTCATTGAATATCACTGCTCTATTATTCTCTGTGCACCATCGCTGTTTCATATGGCAGCAATTAAGAATAAGCAGCCATGCATGCCGTCATATCTTTTAATTACAGCCCCCATTCTCTTCTAAAGTGGCAGCGCTTGAAATACAACCTGAGAGTTTCCACCAATCATTGGAGGCATGATGATGTCATGACACATCCCTGGCCTGGAGCAGGGACATCATAAATGCTTCCTCTGGCTTGTATATATTTATGGCATAATTGACAAACAGATGTGGCTTCCTGCCAAGAGAGTACAGCGATAACACTCATGCTGGTAAGGCTCAGAGAATGAAGGGACTGATGAGGGAGGGACCGTTTGATCCTCCAGATGTGAGAATCACAGACATCTCTTTTTTGTCAGAAGCAGTAAATAGAGACATACTGCTTCATTTGCATCTTCACCGAACATATGTACACATATATATATATATCATAATAAACTAAAGTAGCACATTTAAGATGTTGTGTCAGTGGACAGTTTACCACTGCGCCGCATCATTGCTTCTTTCAACAATGCTCTGTATGCATTTGGGGACTGAGGAGGCCATTTGGTGAAGTTTCGAAAGCAAACGTGCCACTACTGCCTTACCTGGGATTTCAGGTGCTGTATAGCCTTCAGATATTTTTTTGCTGTAGTTTGCTTTGATCGTTTTAAAAGTAACTTCACTTCCAAGGGGATGAACATGTGGTCGTGAAACTAAACAGTAGCATTTTGTTTCTCACCTCTGTCCGTCCATTGAAGGGGTGCAGGTGTACTCGGGGGGGTAGTATGGTGGTGGAGGAATTGGAGGAATAAACTCGTCAAAGTCCAGTGTTTGGTGGAGGATGGTTCCATGGGGGGTCATACAGTCAGCATTTAAGGCTCGAGTTCTGTGCGGCATAAACTGAAACACAACATGAAGAAAAAAAACAAAATTTTTTGTGTTCTTTTCTTTTTCTTTTAGCAGCACCTCATGGCACCGGACGTGACTTTTCAGTCTTTGAACAATGTTCATAGAGTATCTAGGGACAAATTATATTAGACATCCGTCCACTCACTCTTTTCTATATTTTTCTTTCACTCCCAGCAAACCTTCACCTTTAATCTCTTGGCTGACTCTGCTCTGCTGGTATCGATTTGTTTGAATTTACTGAGCTAAACAAAAGGTTAACACCTTGTGTGGTAAATGGGAAATGAAGCCACTCGGAAAACTCAATGAGACTGCTGGATATAAGACACACTGCTTTTGTCTCTTACCTCTCTGTGAATCAATATTTGCATGCCTTATTGTTCAGTTGGTTGGATTTGATGAGCCTGTTATTGCCTTGGTGTTGGTTCACGTCAACTACTATAAATGCATTCTTTAAATAAAGTCTAAATGGTTAAATTGACTTAGAATTAGTTTGTTATTTGTTAAGAAAAAAGTGCATTCCATTAATCACCATGAAATTGCATTTCCACTCTCAGGTGTCCAAAATATGAAGCCATAATTCATGCTGAATACTGAAAGGCCTGCTTGCAATGGAGGTTTTATTATTGTTTCCTTGCATTTCCAACAACTGCTGTTTTGATTGATCTTTGGCCTTTGAATAAATATTATAGACAACAAAAATGTATTCAGAACTTCTTCTTTTTTTTTTTCTTTTCCAGCATTTGCTAAAGCTAGTTTTCTGAAACGCCACGGAGTCCAAAGAATAACAAGAATAGCTTAATAGATTCTAAACATATTTGTTTTTTACATGATCCTAGATATTTAATAAAAAAGACAGTTTTCAGAAAGCCAAACTTCTTGAACTCGTACGACAGGTTTGTTTAAAATGTAATTGACTGTACAAAGATTATGAGCTCTTGCCTGCATCTTCAGTTGTCAAACTAACCTCTGAAAGAAGCCACAAGCTCCGTTTTAAATATTTAAACTTGTGTAAGCATGCATAAAATTTGCAACGTGAACCCTGTATGATCTGGCATAAGATCCTCCCGTAGTCTTAGTTCCATGTTGACAGCACCGCTCTGTCTTTTAACTTCCTGATGTGTTTACAGAATCAGAATAAAGTCTGATGTTGTCGTGCACTCACCATTTGCAGCACATCAGTTGACACCATCTGCATGCAGCACATTGCTGTGGCGAGAGCACACACTATGGTGGAGATGACGTTAAGGGCACAGACGCTAAACAGCAGCTCCTGAAGGAGAAAAGGGAGAGGAAGAGACTGTTATAGAGCAGAAAACAAAAGAGGAGAGAAAAACAAGGGTGTAGGAGGAAACAATAGGAGACACGAACAAAATTAAATATGAGAGCAAAACAGTGGTACAAATGCCAAAAAAGAAACAGTGGTACAAGTAAAAATAAAAAAGAAGCGAAACAGCATTAATACATTTGCAAAGACAACTAAGAGGGAATATCTCCAGGAAATGTTGGAAATGTATTTGGATTACAGGAAAATTAAGCATATAAACCTTCAAGACTGTAAGCATGTATAATAAAAATGCATCACAGTGAACCCCCCCCCATCACCCTGTATTAATATTGCAATAATAATATTTAATTATTGTACATATTGTACATTATTGTACATAATGATGTTACAGGACAGAAGATGATAGCTCTTTGTATTGATGGTCAAAAAACTGTCCATTTTTTCTGAGGAGAGTTTGCATGTCTCCCTGTAGGTGCGTGGGTTCTCCAGCTTCCTCCCACAGTCCACAAGTATGCGGGTTAAGTTAATTGAAGAGTAAATTGCCTTTGAATCTAAGTATGTGGTTGTTTGTCTCTGTGTGGCCCCTGTCCAATCTGGCAACCCGTCCAGGGTATACCCGCCTCATACCCAATGTCAGCTGGCATAGGCTCCAAAACCCCATGGCTCCCCCTTCAGGTGGGCTTAGTTTGTGCATTTTTGCAAAGAAGCGCCCATCCAGCCTCTCCTAGGATTCATACAGGAGGCTTCTGTTGTCTCGACAATCACCAAGAGCAAATTTACCTCGTGAAATCCTGCCATGGGCAAGTTACCTTTGACATATCTTGGGATTTTTCAAGCACTCAAACCGTCCAACACCATTTAAATTCATAAAAATGGGAGTTTTTCTCATTTGTGGAGGGATAATGGAGCATGAGCGTGAGCGTGAGCTTGTCAGCAGCAGTTCAGATACTGGATCATTTCGCCATGGTTAAAAGACAGGTATGAGAAATGGCAAAGTTTTCAATTTCCTCGCCAATATGAGATTCTAGTGGTTATGAGCGCGGGCACTGAAATAAAGGATGAAGCAGCAGAAATGAGCTTCCTCTCTGCTCACGTTTACACACTGGAGGAGTTTAGTCATTAGCCGGGGCTCAGTATAGAGCTGCTGCTGCTGCCTCGCACCGACAGGACTCTGCTGTAAAAACTGACACTTGATATATTAAGAATTCCAGACCAGATATAATACTTGATGAGACGAAAAATGAGCCGTTTCTCTTATTCTGACCTTTTGCCTAATGTGGCTCCAACCTTTACAGCAGCTGACTTAATTGCCTTTTCACGTCACGTCTGTTGAATCACGATGTCCGTGTTCCTGACCAGACACCTACAATATTTGCTATCTGCTGAAATGACAGCAGGCTTAGACTGACAAAGGGCCGCCAGTGGTTCCCCTCCAAGCCCATATGAAGGTATTGGTTTTACTGGTAGTCACCAAATAACCATTTTCAAATCATACCGGTGGAATTTTTTTCTACTGGCCATGACAGACAGCCAACACTGCTACATCAATCATCACAATATTCCTCCTCAACAGAGGATGCACTCAAAAAAGAATTAATGACAAAAAGAATTTTGAATCTTCATTAGACAGCCCCCTTAAAAAGGAATTCTCATTATGCATTTCAGCCGTAGAGGCATCATGAAAGGCGACACACACTCAAAAGATTACAACCTTTCCAGGGACTCCTCTTTAGCGCCCCTGAACTGCCAACAAAGACAGGCTGGCAACACAGATAACCTCAAATCCTGCAGTAAAAACCGATGCCCATATGGCAGCTGCCGCGTGTGTGTGTGTGTTCCACAGCTGCATCAGAAGAGCTGTATCTACTGTCCCTCACCCTAAAAAATGAGAGGAAAGATGAAAACAAATCCACTGTATTTGATCTTTCATATGTGTGACAAGATTGCGCCGAAATCTGACAAAGGGTCCTGTGGTTGTTTTTGTGTATTAAAGTTTGGAGAGACACCAGTAAACAGGGGTTACTCTATAAACCAGTTTCGTGTTGATAGCGCACACAATGTAATGATCTGTGATGCTGGCTGGTGAATTGAAAAGACGATTGAATTAAAAGTGATTTGAATCAATATTTCACATTGGGGTTATTGTAAATGTTTAACTGTTCTTTATTGCTTTAAAAAGAAGAAAAAAGAAGAAAAATCTGATAGAAGTTTTGCTATGGTTGTGAGATTTCTTCTGGCCATGACAATCACAGTGAAAATCTGATTCTGCGCCCGCTCTTCCAGCAAATAGTCTCTTTCACTGTGACTCTAACGAGATCTGTCATTATCTGCTCAGAATACAAAATGGGAACATGACTCAAAATATGGCCTTGCTTTTCTTTTGAGGGATGTCAATCAGAAGTCTTTTTTTTTATGACAAAGGGAGTGAATGTCAAAGATGCAGGAGGAAAAATGAACAGAAAATTAAAAATATTTGGCTTAACAGTCACAAGTGGAGCCAGCTGTGCCATGGATTCTACGGGCAGTGGGTTCAGCATTTTGCCTGTTGCTCTCATGGATTCATGTACTTGATTGTATTCAAATATTAAAACATAACAATTCTTAATTAAAGTTGACATTATATGGTGAATGTTGTCTATTATCCTATTTATTTTGATTGTGAATATAGTTTAAATGATAAAGCTTAGATTATTGCTTACATCACAACTAAGCCAACATGTGTTCAGTTGGTGTGCTCCAGTATTTATATAATTTCTATAAATAATTTAATAAATACAAATCTACCAGTGAAGTTAAGCGTGTCTTCTGAGACAAGAAATGTTTATGATGGTTTCATTTGACCTCATTTTGTTCACGCGGATGCATCTGCCGCACAGATGTGTGCAGATCTTTGTTTTCCCTCGTGGGCACGATGTAGATAGTGACATAATAAATCCTGCCAGGCAAAGAAATATCACAACACTTCCACGTAAACTGGTTAACATGGCTGCTCACAACCTCTTAAGGATAACTTGCCCCTGGTCAGTCGGAGCGAGGTTACACATCTGCTCCTTGACAGAAATACACAAATTATTTCAATACTTCTTCTCATGGATGATTTGCAGCCTCAGGCTGTGTTATCAAACGAAAATCTGAATGACTTGTGTAAGCAGAGACATGGATTATTGCATCAAGTCATCTCTTGCACAACGGAATGACTGCTGAGCAATGTGTGATTGGACAAATAAGTACAGCTCCTCGCCCTCTGCTGTGAAAATGAAGCTCTCCCCATTTTATTTATTTTCTTGTGGGAGTAACAATATGGCAGCTTTGTCATGAGTTCATGACCATTTGCAGCAGTCTAACAACCGTCTGAAAAGGCAAAGGGCTCCAGGGACTTGGAAATGACAGCTCCCTTTAGACATAACTCAATACTTTTGACTTCTTTGGCACTTAATAAAGGTTTATAGCACCATTTCTCCATCTCTTTAATGAGTTATGATTACAATGACGAATGTGCTCGATTTTTTCCTTCTCTCATAATCATGCTTCATCGTAAGGTGTCTTTTATTGAGATATCAATGTTTTTATAATCAATCAGGGACATAAAATGAATGGATATGATTGTCATTATCCATTAACAGCACAGAAGGGCATACAGTATTTCATCCACACTGCCATCGGATATTTCATAGAGGTCAAAAATGTGCAAACTACAGTCAATTGAGCGAGAAATACATTGTGTGCTAAGAGATATGCCTCAAGGGGGAAAAGAAAAATACAAGCTCCACTTAATCATCCTTTAATTTGAGACCAAACTCTGATGTCTTACAGCAATTCTTATCTTTAAGAGCTTCACGAGAGAAATACATTCTTATCAATTATTGGGTTACAAGTGTCTTTATCTGTTAAAAGGATGGAGTCCTCTCATCCACCACTAAGCAAAGGAAGAATGGTTAAAAGTCTGTGATCAAATTCACTCTTCCAAAAGCCACAAATTAAGCCAGAAATATGGATGTTGTTACCGACCCAGATCTGAATTGCAACAGTCAAGTCAAGTGCTAATGTAAGTTAGAGAAGCAGGTGCAAGCATGTGGTTGTGCTGGTTACAAGCTGGTTACATGCTTGCACCAGCATAGAAGCTGGTGTAATTTAGTTTTTAAAACTGTAATAATTTCCCTTCATAGTTCACATCTGCAGTTCCCCCTTTGGCTTACCATCATTGCATCTATCAGGTTTGAATTATTTTTTGAGAAATGCAGACGTTAGTGAATTTCTTTATTAGATTTTGGTTTGGGCCGAAGAAAAACCTGACCAAAAACAAAGAGGTAGCTTGTGAAAAGGTAGCATCTGAAGATGAAAATCAAGTCAACGCACATCATTGACCCAAATGGA